TCATTTTGGTTGAGCTTTTTTTTCTTTTGTTTGGATCATGGTGATCTTGATAGGAGAACTAGCTTGATAGCTAGTTGGTTCCATTCTGCCTTTCACAATTGGCGGATCAATCTGGCTAACAACCCCAATTGAATTCAGATAACATGCACAGCTATTTATCTAAAATAGTAACAATAAATTTGGGGTCAAAGGAGCATTAGACCTAGTGCCGTCTTCTTTTTATACCACCTCAGAAACTGGCTGTTAACAGCACTGTAGATAAGTACTTTGAGAGGGCAGCATTTTACAAGTGTAGATATGATGAGCTAAGTCTTGGGGACACAGGCTGTTTTTTCCTACTATAAAACACCTCTATTCAATTCTTAATAAGTTGAGGTCAGCTAATTATAGTGGATGCAGCCCTTTATTTGTCTTTTTTCTCTTTCAATGTTTGAAGAAGCTCTCAAAAGAAAAGGAAACATAATGGGAAAGGGGGTGGGAGGTTCCCCCCTTATTTTCCAACCGTTTTGTGCTTCCACTAATATGCCTGTTAACTTTCTCAAGAGGCCACCTTGACAGATAATGTGGGTAGTTTTGGTTCTTTGTTTTTAAAGAGAATCAAAATATTCAGAAGTGATAATAGAAGCATTCAGTGAATTTGTTTGTGTAGCAAATAAAAAGACCCCAGGGTATGACTTACCTTAAAAAAAATATATGCACAAGTAAATAGGTAAAGGGACCCTTGACCATTAGGTCCAGTCGCGGACGACTCTGGGGTTGTGGCGCTCATCTCGCTTTACTGGCCGAGGGAGCCAGCATACAGTTTCCGGGTCATGTGACCAGCATGACTAAGCCGCTTCTGGTGAACCAGAGCAGTGCACGGAAACGCCGTTGACCTTCCCGCCGGAGCGGTACCTATTTATCTACTTGCACTTTGTGCTTTCGAACTGCTAGGTTGGCAGGAGCTGGGACCGAGCAATGGGAGCTCACCCCGTTGCGGGGATTCGAACCACCGACCTTCTGATCGGCAAGCCTTAGGCTCTGTGGTTTAACCCACATGTATTAAATCCTCATAATATTGATAGACCCTGTAGGAAAGCTTTTAAATGACAGGCCAATGCTGTAGATCAGGGATGTCAAACCTGTAGATGCTGTTGCGCCTCAACTCCCATCAGCCTCAGCAAGCTTGGTAGCGAGGTTTAAAGCAGGTTTTCCAACTATGCAAACTCCTTTTCAGACATCCCCCCCCCCGACAAAAAAGCTCCAAATGAACACAAAGCCTGCTTAGCTCCTTGCTTATACAGTGGTACTTTGGTTTTCAAACGTAATACATTCCAGAAGACCGTTCGGCTTCCGAAACATTTGAAAACCGAGGTGCAAAGGGCAGCCTGCAGTTTCAGTGGAGAAAACTGGGGGGGAAATGCAGCAGGAGCCATTCGATTTCCCATGCACATTTGAAAATGGAAGCATTTACTTCCAGGTTTTCGGCTTCCAGAGCACATTATATAATTTGTGTGCATGGTGTTCCTCAGGTATCTGATCTACCTTCCCTATTTTCCAATGGCACATTTTTCAACTGCACAGGTTCCCCTCAACACTACATTTTGCATCCAGTTGCGTAAAAAACCTTGCCAGCAAGCATGGCTGACGGCCAAGGATGATGGGAGTTGTAGTTCAGCAGTGTTGCACGGCCCCAGATTCCCCACCCCTGCTGTAGGTTCAGTTGTGGTGAATAAGTAAGGGCACATTCAGGTGTGGGGAATCTTGCACTAGTTTTCCTGACTGTAATGCATGTTCTTTGGTTCCTTTTCTGATGTTCCTTTCGTGCTGTCGAACCAGCTGTGCTATGTGGCTTTTTGACTGATTTGCTATATTTCATCCACACCAGTGAGTGTGATGTGTCACAACAACGAATGGACAGCGTCACTACTCCCCACTCTTTCCGCACATCTGTGCTTCTGTTCCCTTATGACTCACCCATGAAAATGGCAAAAAAAAGAACTGTTTGCTGGTATACAGCCCCAAATTTACTCCCATGAGTTTTCCAGGTTAAGGGGACAGCAAACTGGGTTTTTTCTGGATTCAAATAACACAGGAATGAGTGCTGAACATGCATTATATTCCGCTGGTTTTCTGTGTCATGTGAAAGCTCGTGTGGAAACCAACTCTTAGGGAAACTTGGGGGGGGGGGAATGGAATAATACAGTGTGAACAAACCTTTCAGAAAGGTGAGAATCACACTTTTCTGTATACATGGCATTCTTCTTATCCTCAGGGCTGCAAAGCTAGGTTGCCAACCTACTTTTGAAGAACTAAACAGACAGAAATAAGGAGAATGGCAATCAGAAATGTAAATTCACCTTCCCTCCCCTGGGCCACTATTCTGCTTTTTATATAATGTCAAGGGTTGATTGAGTCTAATTTTTCACACTTGAGAGCACCAGTTTTATGAATAGTGTCCTTGGCTCTGTTACGTGGAATCAAGGATGTTAGGCTCTCCAAATGTGTTTTGGCACCAGTCCAATTTGTGAAAAGAACAATACGAAAATTACATGAGTTTTTTATTCCCTTTTTTAAAAGTGAGAATTTCGCTCGTTCTTTCTAGAAACCTTCCCCTACCCCTTTGACCTTCCTCCCTTGACTTACTGCCTCCATGTAGACATGCCTAGAACACATAGGCTAGCTTTGAGGCCATCTGTGGGAGATTCCCCGCCCCAGCCCCACAGATTCATTCGAAGTATTGGCTTCCGGGGACTTTTGTTATTGCATTAGAATACTATAGGCTTCTGGCACATCCGTAGCTGATGGAAACCATTTTGACGAACCCACTGGAGGTAGCTCATGCTTCCGCTTTGATTTTTATAAAAGCAGGTGCCCTAGCAAACTTGCTTTTCCAGACATTTTCTCATTCTGTCCTTAAATCAGAGAGAAATATTGTCTGCATAGTCCCCACCCCCACCCCCTTGAACCTACAGTGTCGTTAATACAGCACTGGGGAGTTGGCTAGAACAATGCTGCCCGCTACCAGTCAAACGGCTTAGAAAAATTGTGGGAAAGAATGTTAAACGCGGTCCTGCTGTGATCACTAAAAAGGCCGCTGTCACAGTGTTTCCATGCCAGGTATTACTCAGACACTGCTCCCCTCTTCTGCAATATTCCTGGCTTTTATCTTGTTTTGCACAATTCAGCCATATCTTGTCCCTTTAACCACCTTACTAGTTCACATAACTCAGTCGGCTTCTGCCTGAGGAAAAATTTTAATTAACTATGCTTAAAGAATCAAAGGGTCAGGACGGAACATTGGAAGGACATATTGGCATTGTCAATTTTGTATCTTCCTTAACATTTCTTTCTTTTTCTTTTTCTTTTTTCGGCGGTACAAACCCAAGTGCGGAATGTGGTATTCTACCCCTTGTGTACCAAAAAGTTAATTGTTTAGTGAAGAATCTAAGCTGCTACTTGACAACTTCCTTTCTGGTCAAGTGTCAGATATTGTGACCATGAAATAAAGCCCTTTTCAGTCACACACACACACACACACACAGAGAGAGAGAGAGAGAGAGAGAGAGAGAGAGAGAGAGAGAGAGAGCGCTAGAGCTTTATTATGATTGCTTATTTGGCAAATATAAGTGGAGATTTCTGGGAAATATTTCCCACACAATCAGGTTTCTGAATGGTCACCATCCATTTGCTGGTGGGAAACTGAATGCTGGACTTCACGTAGGCCTTTGGCCTAGTCCAAAAAGGCTCTTCTTTGGCTCTTATGCTTATTTCTTGACAACTCTTGGTACTTCCAAAATTTGCCCATTTAATTTTTGTGTTTGTTATGTCCATAATACTCTAGGTATAAAGAACTTAATCCAGTGACTTCAACCAAGTCATTGTCATTAGGTAGCTCAGTTTGACTGCTGTGGCCTACCCAATAGATACATGTGCTTAGATAGCATTTATTTCAGAAGGAGAAGCTCTTAGGAAGCTGCCTTATATTGAGCCAGGCCATTGATACATCCAGGTCAGTATTATCTACACTGGGTTGCAGTAGCACTTTAGGGTTTCAGACAGGGGTATTTTCCAGCCCTGCCTGGAGATGCCAAGGTTTGAACCCGACGCCTTTGAATGCAGAGTATTTGCCCTGTGGTTGAACTGCAGCGTCTCCCCATCCCCAGGTCCTTGACTAAGGGATGAGCTGCAGCTGCAGGACAGTTGCATTTGTTTTGCATTCTCATTCAGAAGAAAAATGCTAGGTCATCTATAGGTCTCATTGAGTATTTTGTCAGGAGTGTCTATCCTTGGAGAGTTAGTTAGTGGGTGGGTCATGAAATGGAAGCAGAGGCTGTGGAGGATGCAGGGGGGGGGACAAGCAGAGAGCATGTCGAGAGTCCTCTGCACTTTGGCAAGAGATGGGAATGTGGGGAGGCTGAACGGTTTGAGTAGGTAGTGAATCTGACTTGCCCAGGCTCCAGGCCAGCTGGCAGCCAAATCCGCAACACTGCTCTCGATCTGTGACCTTGTAACTAGTAGTGATGGCCACCAACTTAGATGACTTTAAAAGAGGATTGGTCCGATTCATGAAGTATAAAGCTATCAACAGCTACCAGACATGATGGCCATGTTCAGGGTATGCCTCTGAATACCAGTCGCTGGGAATCACAGGCAGGGAGAGCACTCTTGCTTTCATGTCCTGCTTGGAGACTTCTCATAAGCCATACAATTCCAGCATGGTGCTAGAACTGATGAGCCTTAGGCCTGATCTGGTAAGGCTTTTCCTGCGTTCTTAACTAGTCTAGGGTGTGACTTTTATAATATATCGTTTTGGAGCATGTTAAAAACAACCTCATGAAATAGCTCTTTTATCTTCCGATTGGTTCCATCCTTAGCTGACTTTAGCAAGTGTCCTAGAGGAAACACATTTCATTTGACCTCCAGGCCCAGGTGGGGCGCAGGGCATCCTCTTCTCATTTGCAAAGCACAAATCTGCAGTGTTGGTTTTTTTTTAAAAAAATGCCTGTTTAATCTTCCAGAAACAAGACTGGCCCCTGCACAAGCTAGAATGCTCAGCCATGTGTGTGTTTGGGCAGAACTGGAATCCCTCAGAGACTGTGAGACTCACTGCAAGGATTATTGCCAAACAGGTGAGCAGGGCCCAAAGACTTCGGCCAGATTTCTGTTTTGTTTTGTTTGGAGATGGAAAGAGCCAGGGAAGTGACTGTGTGCTCCAGTAGCCTCTGGTGCAAAGTCGCTTCACAACATCTTGTTTGTGTATATGCCGGCAGTTGCTCCTAACATGAGTAGTTGAAGCATCTGCAGTGTTTGTGCTTAAGAACCTCTTGAAGTGCTGTGCTCTTGAACCTTTCCCATCTATTAAGTCACCTCCCTCATTCTTCACTGAATTTCTCCATCAAACATGCTTTGCGCAAAGTCTTTGGAAAGCAAAGCCTTACAAATGTAATAGCACCTTTTATTCCCAATGTCCTCGGGCACAAGACTTGACTGCAAGCGGTTCACACAGTGTTTTTGCATTGCATAACGTTGGTGTGAAGCTCAATGAAACAGGGTTTATTGGGGGAACTGCACAAACCTCTGTTTCAGATGCTCATTATGGCCGTGTTGCCGTGAATTCCAAATTCTTCTGTCTGTTTTGGCCAGATTCTCCACAGTCCAGCTGTCTTGAGGCTGGTGGTTCCTTCACATATGACATTACATACACATGGGCTTCTTGGCAGCTTGACCAGGGACAGTCCTATTCCCCAGACTGAAGACTCAACCAGATGCTCCTCTCACTAGGAAATGAAGCCTCTGTGGCAATATGTCCTTCCCAGATGGAAAGGACACCTTTCAGGGAAGAACGGACTACTTGTACTTAAACAGGGAAGGATGCAGAGGAACTGCAATACCTTAAAGACCGCCTCTCCCCATATAAACCAACCCGGACTCTGTGACCATTCTCTAAATCCCTTCTTTGTGTGCCTCTTCCACAAGAGGTCAGGAGGGCAGCAACACAAGAACAGGCCTTTTCTGCAGTGGCTCCTCATTTGTGGAATGTTCTTCCCAGGGAGGTCCGTCTGATGCCTTCATTATACATCTTTAGGTGCCTCAAAATGTTCCTCTTCTCCCAGTCCCTTGGCTGATGAATATTCTACAGCCTTTTAACTGTGTTGGGGGTGGGTATTCATCTTCTTTTTAAACTATTTATTTTGTGCTGTTATCTTGTGAACTGCCCTGAAGTAGAACCAGAATCTTTGGACGTATATAAATTTAATAATTAATAGATAAAATCCATAGAATTACCATGTTGGAAGGGACCTTTGAAGGCCATCTGTGTGAACTCACTGCTCCATGTCGGATCTGCAATCAACTGCAGCATCACTGGCAGACATTCCGTTCCAATCAATATATTTTCCCAAGGAACTCTGGGAGTTGTAGTTTGTGGGAAACAGGGGTCTCCTAATGGCTTTCAGCATCCTTAACAAAGTACAGTTCCCAGGATCCTCTGGGGGGAGCCGTGGCTGCTAAAGTGTGGTACAGTGGTGACTCGCAAGACGAAAAGAATCCGTTCCGCGAGTCTCTTCATCTTGCGGTTTTTTCGTCTTGCGAAGCAAGCCCATTAGCGGCTTAGCGGATTAGCGCTATTAGCGGCTTAGCAGGATTAGCGGATCAGCTGATAAGCGGCTTAGCGGATCAGCTGTTAAGCGGCTTAGCGGATCAGCTGATAAGCGGCTTAGCGATCAGCTGTTAAGCGGCTTAGCAGCTTAGCGGATCAGCTGTTAAGCGGCTTAGCGGCTTGGGAAAAAGGGGGGGGAGGAAAAAAAACCTGCAGGAACTCGCAAGACATTTTCGTCTTGTGAAGTAAGCCCATAGGAAATTCGTTTTGCGAAGCACCTCCAAAACGGAAAACCCTTTCGTCTAGCGGGTTTTCCGTCTTGCGAGGCATTCGTCTTGCGGGGCACCACTGTATAGTAGTGCTTTAAATGTTCAGTATGGATGTGGCCCAGGTCTCTATAAGTAGGAAGCCCTCTAAGCTGGAGGGAAATCTGACCCTATTTATGGAGGCTCCTCCCAAGGCAAAATGTGGTTTTCTGAAGCATGTTCTCTCTCACTCATAGAGTGTTCGCAGGGAAACAAAGTGGGACCAGTAAGTTTCAAGGTCACAGCTTTGTATGTTATCATAACGCTCCCAACTTCTCTCCCCCTCTGTAATAATGATTTTTAAAAAAATCAAACCTCCTAAACAATGGCCTTTGAAGAAATTCTGTACATTTTGAGAACTGCTTCTGTGATAAGGGTGACCCAGATGCAGTGGGGGGGAGAGGACTCTGAAGGCATGCTGGGATGGTAGCTTGCCTGACTCCCCCTGTGCTTCTTTCCTTTCCTTTCTTTTAAATTTTTTTTTAAATACACTCTAGTGGTGATCCACAAACAAAATTAGATGTTTAATGATGAAAAGTCATTGGAATAAATTTGTGCTTTTATAGCTTGCAGGGAAGTGGGAGGGAGCCCTACATGCCATATGAAAGCTAAATATGCAAACCATAGTCCCTGAACCTCAGCTGCTGGGCCACCTGCAAACCCATATTTAATGGCCAAGATTACAAAGAAGTGGCCTTAGGCCAACGCTGGAGTGTTGCTTTTGAACTCTGTCAACATTGAGATTATTCACTTTCCTCAAAGCAAAGTCTGCCTTCTAATAGCTTGCTGCTGTTAGTTGCTTTCTGCAAATCTGCAGCTAAAAGAAATTATGATTTTTGTTTAAAAATAATAATTAAGAAATACTTGTTCTGTTTGTGCAGGCATTTTCACAGGAGTTTTGGGACATAGTGGCCTAGGGTGTCAGCAGATTTAAACCAGAGTGCAGTTTATTGACTCATCTGGGCAGTGTGTGTGTGTGTGTGTGTGTGTGTGTGTGTGTGTGTGTGTTAGAAAGGACAGTTGTGAATAAGCTGATGGAATGTGTGTGGGATTTTTTGAAAATGTCACTTTTCTTTTCTTCATTACTAGAAAACACACCCTGGAAGGACTGAGTCAGAAAAACTCCTTTCTATAACAGAGTTTGAATCCCGTAAGTATAGAAAAACGGAAGACTCCAAGGGTTATTCCATAGGGGGTTCAGAAAGCATTTTGTAGCTGTTCAACAAAACCTGCCTGTGTTTACAAGTCTCTCTCTCTCTCTCTTCCTGTAGTATTGAGAATGATATTTATTCATCGCTCTTTAGAAAAAGTCTCAAAGTGACTAACAGTACATCAAAAATACAATGCAATAGGCAAAAACAATAAAAAACAGACACAATACAGTACCAAAAGGTTACATTATCACTTCTGTTATGAATTATCATTATTTATCTTGAATACAGTGAGTTTTCGTGGAAAAGTCACAGGCTATATATACCCTCTTTGGCCTCTCTGTTTGCATTTTGCCTCTATAGCTTTGCATATACTAATTATAGCACAATACACAAACATTTTACACACGTGCATTTCTAGATCTGCCTCAACAAGGTGTCCTATTCTCCTCACCCCCCACCCTGCTGCCACCGCCAATGATTCTGTTGTTCCCCTTAACTTGGGATAAAAGTGAATTGAAATTCTGGTCCATTGATTACACTTCTGTCTTGTCAAAACAGCCTTCCTGGCAACTCGGGTGACTTTGGTGGATTGTAATGTGAAATTTTAAAACAGCCAGCATTGTTACCAGGGGGCATCTAGTCAGTGATGGTACAGTTGCTTGATAGTGACAGTGTCTTTGGGGCTAATTGCAGGGCCCTCCAGTGTTGAGTTGCATATCTGTCACTGCCAGTCAAATCTGACATGTCCTCGGCGGTTGCCGCATCCCAAATGCTCCAAAGGTGATCTAAGGAGGAGTGAAGGCCTGTGTGTGTGTGAACTTATTTCCCCTGCTCAAGGCAGAGCTCAAAACTGAGCTGCTATTAAGAAGGCTAAGCAAACTGGAATTGCCTGCCAAGCATTCGTAGTGTTGCTCTCTTCCTCGGTGCTGACAATAAGGGGAACAAGTGAGCACAACCATGCACATATTCGAGAACAATAATGTCTTAGATTTGCCTTCTGCTCAGTCGGAACACCTTGAGATGCGGTCATGTAATGCAGCTATCTCTAGGAAGAAATGTACAACTTTTGTGCATTTGACAAGAATACCACTACATTATATTTATTGTATTTTTAAGAAGACCATTTTAAAAAAAAACCCACCAACCTTCTGGCTTTAGCATATTAGGTTGTTTAATGTGTCGCTTTTTCAGGCAGCTTGATGCTGAATTGAGCAGAAGTGGGCTGCAAGATCACATTTTTATGCTGTATGTGGAGGGGGGGGAGAAGAGTTTGGATTTGATATCCCGTTTTATCACTACGGACGCGGGTGGCGCTGTGGGTAAAAGCCTCAGTGCCTAGGGCTTGCCGATCGAAAGGTCGGCGGTTCGAATCCCCGCGGCGGGGTGCGCTCCCGTTGTTCGGCCCCAGCGCCTGCCAACCTAGCAGTTCGAAAGCACTCCCGGGTGCAAGTAGATAAATAGGGACTGCTTACTAGCGGGAAGGTAAACGGTGTTTCCGTGTGCAGCTCTGGCTCGCCAGAGCAGCGATGTCACGCTGGCCACGTGACCCGGAAGTGTCTCCGGACAGCGCTGGCCCCCGGCCTCTTAAGTGAGATGGGCGCACAACCCTAGAGTCTGTCAAGACTGGCCCGTACGGGCAGGGGTACCTTTACCTTTACCTTTTTATCACTACCCAAAGGAGTCTCAAAGTGGCTAACAATCTCCTTTCCCTTCTTCCCCCACAACAAACACTCTGTGAGGTGAGTGGGGCTGAGAGACTTCACAGAAGTGTGACTAGCCCAAGTCACCCAGCAGCTGCATGTGGAGGAGCGGAGATGCGAACCCGGTTCACCAGATTACAAGTCCACCGCTCTTAAGCACTACACCACACTGGATCTTCTCCCCCCCCCGCCCCCCTCCTGCCACACACTCACTCTAGGATCTCTATCATTTACTGAAGTCTGGCGTGGCATTTATCAATATTTTATTTTTCGATTGATTGTTTTTTTAACCAGAGTAAAAACCCAGTTTTGATGTCCTGTGAGGAACTGTTCTTCCCACACAGGGAGGCCTTTCATTAGGTGTCATTTAATTCAGTGGTTCAGTGTCTTGCTTGAGCATTCGTTAGTGGTGCATTGACAAATACACAAAAAGATTACAGTGCGTTTCATAAGGCAATATTATTCCCAGCTAATATATGGGTAGAAATGTGCCAGCTGTTAGATGCTTCCTGGCATTGTTCCCTTCCACAAGGCCTACAAGGAGGAAAATGATACTCCCCGCAGTTCAAAGAAGAGTTCTTGTGACTGATTCTCTTTTCTTCGAGGGCGTCCTGTCTTGAAGCGGACTTCGCTGCACTTCACTGCAAGTAAATTGGTCTTTGTATTGAAGCGGGATTTCTTTTCCTTTGCAGATCTCGATAAGCTTGACAATGAAAAGAGAGAGTTGATTCAGAATGACATCTCGGCTCTCCATCACTTTTATTCAAAGCATATAGAATACCCTGACAATGCAGCTCTTGTGGTCCTTTTTGGTCAAGTAAGATGGATTTTAAAAAGGGGGTAGGGGGTTAGGGCTGGATCCAAATGGCACCTTTGGGGGCATGTGATCTTGCACTGAGCCAGAAGTACAGGAAGCAAGGTTGAAAAAGAAGCTTAGAGTTGTGTGCAATTTTGTGTGATAAATCCCACATTTTGGGCCTTGCCAGCCCCACAAAACTATGTTGGATGGGGCAGGAGGAATGGACTTTGCTTCAAAATGGTTTAAGGGTGTTGCATGCACTAAATTGAGTCATCCCCCAAAACCCTCTATTAGAAGCCTCCTAGTGGTTCTGGAAACCAAAGCCTTGGCAAATAATTTTATGCATGTTTGCATATTACATTTCTTCAGTATTTGTCCCAAAAATGTAAAGTGTGGAAGTGATCTATGCAGTTCTCATTTTTCCCCCTTTTGATATAGCCTAGTACTCAGTCTCATTTTCTTTAGCGTTTACCCTTTTTATTTGTGGTTGACTTTCTTTAAAAAAGAAACAATAATACGTATCATAAAGTAGATATACAAAATGCAGACCAATACATAAACATACTGAGCACATATTGTAAACATAAACACTATATATTAGGAAATGATTTTTGTACAAACATCGTGATAGTAATGTTTGATGTTAGTACATGACATGAATGCTGTTGTATACACATTTTAAAAGATGCTGCTGTCTAAATGATGTAATGGAAGGTACGGCTTGGAACTGAATGTCATTTTGAGACTGAGAATAACACACTCAGCTGCCTTTTCGCCCCACCTGGTTCCAGGATGCTGACACACTTTGCTGCAGCTCAGCCCGGCTGCCGCATCCTTAATCTTCCACTATAAAACTAAATTGCAGGCAAACTCTGACCTCCCTTCTTGTAAAGCTAGTCGCTCAGCAGCAAGACTTGATTAAGAATAAGCAGCATTCTAATCAGATTAATCAGGATGGTGCAGACAAATATGGTCACTTAGGCATGCGGTGCTCAACAAGCCAGCGGGTTTTTAATTTCTCTCCGTCTTTCGCTTTCTCTCTCAGGTGAACTGTAATGGCTTCACAATTGAAGATGAAGAACTTTCACACTTGGGATCAGCGATATTCCCTGAGTAAGTGTTTTAGATGCAGTATCTCCCCCAGGGGGGGAAACACACACACACACAATTTCTAAGATCTATCAATTAGTTTCCAACAACAATAACAAAATCCCCCAGTGCTGTAAGTTATTTGCAAAGCTGAGCAAGGCATTCCTTTCTCAGCTCTTGGAGTCCTGCACACAGCTCCCTTCCTCTTTGTGTTCAACATCTGTGCCTGTCTTATGAACCAGGTCCTCACCGTATACCAGGTCTGAGTGGTCCAGGATCTCAAAGGGCCAATACTCGGGCCAATACGGTAGTTCCCTTGAAACTGTTGAGATTTTAAGGTGCTTCGCTGTGGCTATGCTGCAAGCAGCTGTTCCTAGGACTTCACTATTAAAGGCAAATTCTATAAGCTGATAAGACATTTTGTTGTCTTTGAGCTTCATGAACTCGCAACTTTGCCCTGATCATACAGTTGTAATAATAAACTTCATAAAGAGACTTTTGAGCTGCTTTGCACATAACGTTAAATCAAATACAGGCTTGCTGCAAACGCACAGGTTTCCAGAGAGGCGTTTGTGGCTGCTGAGCTACTGCTCTATTCCTGCTGCTGTGAGCTAAGTCATGGTTTGCCTTAGTGAGCCATCCAAACCCAAGCTCATGGTTTGTTTCACTCCAAGCAAACCATGGGCTTTAACCAAGGCTTGTCTGGAGGAGACGAGCCTCCACAATGTTAAGCCAAACTATGGCTTGCTTTCCATGAGTGTAATAGCAGGAGGACTATGGGGAGGACTGCAGGTGCCCCAGGAGCCCTTGCACATCTGTGCTGAGCCATGGTTTGGTTTGGTGTTATGTGCAAACCAGCCCATTCAACACAGGTAATTGTCACAAGTCCTGCTGTATACAGTGCTCTTCCTTGTGGTCTTTAATATTGCTGCTCATGGAACAAATGGGTGCCCTTTTGTTTTTGTCAGTGTGGCGCTCATGAACCACAGTTGTTGCCCCAACGTGATTGTCACCTACAAAGGGACCGTGGCTGAAGTCAGAGCTGTGCAAGAGATAGAAGCTGGTGATGAGGTAACTGTGCAGTGAATGCCTGCTTTCAAAGGATGGGGAGGGACTGGTTTGTAAAACACACAGCCTGCCATGCACCTGCGGTGTGTCTTTCCATCTGTGTGGTAAACTCATCCTCCACACCCCGTTTGAGGATTCTCCCCTTCATTTCCAAATCCAATTACAAATGATGTGGTCTTTAAACTGGGGTAGCCACACCTCCCCTCTCGAAACGGTGACTTATTTCTCTGACAGAAACCACACCTGGCGTTTAAAAGAGGTCTCCTGTCCAAAATGGCAGCCCCCTAATGAGGTCTCCCTCACCTCTCCCCAGACTTAACCAATGTTTCTTAAGCATGTTGTTTAACCATGTCGTCCTCCTCTCTCTGAGGAATGGGGATTGGATGTAAAATAGGACGGTGCAAAAGGTTAACACGGGCCTGCTGTTTTTCAGCAACAGAATCACGGGCATTTCCCTCCCTTGAACTCAGGTTTGAAGAGGTCACTTAAATAGGCCAAGGGTAGCTTCAGATACTGCCTGCAACATGTCAGGCCGGTCTGTTTCATAACCTAACCCGCTCCATTAGTCCACCACACACCCTTCCCCACAGATCCATGCTCACCTGATGTTCCTACGAGGGGCGAGGACATCGTTTACTTTTGCTGCATTCCAGAAATCCCAGTTGTGGGATTATTCAGGAAAATATTTACGTGTTCCCTTTGAATGCCTTATACTTATTCATTTATGTAAAATAAAGACGATTAAACGGAATAACAGCAGTGCCAACAGAGTGTGTGTTAACAAGTTGGTAGAATATTCCTAATCAAGGGAGTATTGAACTCCTGGAAAAGGTTCTCTGCCATTCAATTAGCGCAGAAGCGGAACAAATTTGTCCTCTGTGGCGTGGCCTGTGCCTCCACCTTCTGGCTCAATGTGGGTACTGCATGGGAAACCTGTCAAGATTTCTGTGTATCTGTGTGAGTGTTTAGATTGGCTCCCATATTTTCTGCCTGGAGAAAAGCAATTGAGATGCACTCACTGTAGGATAAAAACAAGCAACTGCAAACTAAAATCAACTTGCCCTGGGCATGTTGAGAGAAGGTGAAGGACACACATGCACAGAAACAAGAGCAGGCTCGATGGAAAACCATGCGTTGGCGCTGGAGCAGATATGTGTTTAGTTTTCCTTGTAGCCTTTTAATTTTTTTATATTTTGGGTGAGAAATTTTAAGATCAGCATTTGAAACTTTCCATCTTATTTTATAACCGGAAGAAAATTCTTTGAGTTTGCGTGTATTTGTGTATTTGGAGTTCTGTTTTCTGCTTCTGCTTTTGCTGCTTCTTCTGGGCAGATAAGATACTTTGCTAGCCAAAGGTAACTGAGTGGCTGTTTACTTTTTTGCATCCACGAAGAGGCTTGGAATAAATGTGTCTCTGCCTATATGACCTTTTGTGTTCAGACTTGCAGCAAAATTCAAAATCCAACAGAGAGTTGGAAATGGAGCTGGCATGGATAGGGGTGTTGTGTGTGCTCCTCCCCACTTTAAGCTGACACATGTTCAGCCATTAAAACCTGCAGATTCTATCAGTAGTACACAAACTAAACTTGAGCTGTATTTTCCGGGGACTTAGCACTGAAGCCTGGCGCATTATGGAAATGCAACGAGTTTCTGGCCACTCACTGCAACCAGTTTGTAGATCAGTGTATGTTGATGTATAACCTGTAGCATTTTAATACAGTGGTGCCTCGCAAGACGAAAAGAATCCGTTCCGCGATTCTCTTCGTCTAGTGGTTTTTTCGTCTTACGAAGCAAGCCCATTGACAGCAGATTAGCGCTACAGCTGTCTAGCGGCTTTTCGCGATCAGCTGTTAAGCGGGTTATCAGCGGAACAGCTGATAGGCGGCTTAGCGGCTTAGGAAAGGGGGGGAAGCGGAAAAAACCCTCGGGGATGCGCAAGATTTTTTCGTCTTGCGAAGCAACCTCATAGGGAAATTTCGTTTTGCGAAGCGCCTCCGCGACGGAAAACCCTTTCGTCTAGCGGGTTTTCCGTCTTGCGAGGCGTTCGTCTTGCGGGGCACCACTGTACCTATCTGCTGTTGTTATATTACCCGTCTGTCTTTTCCAGATTTTTACCAGTTACATTGACCTGCTATATCCTACAGAAGATAGGAATGATCGGTTAAGAGATTCTTACTTCTTCACTTGCGATTGCAGAGAGTGCATTACTAAAAAAAAGGTGATTGTATTTAATAGAGTGCACATGCTTTATTTATTATTTAGATTTATAGCTTGACTTTATAGCAAAGGCAAAGCATTTTTTTTGTTTGTGTTCTTTACCTCATCATCATTTACTACCATCTAATATCTATATTGTGCCTGTAATATGAGGCTATAAAGCAGATCTGTGACATGGCATACCTCCTACTCCCAATTCCCATTGGTGCAGCTGTGTCTGGCTTATTCAAGGTCAACCATTTAGACTGCAGGAGTAGTGGGCTCCACATGAGTTACTCCCGTTGGGCTCCAGCTCCAGCCATCTCTGACTATTGACCATGCTCCCTGGGGCTGGTGGGAAGAGGAACCTAAGAACCATCATGTTGGTTACTCTTTGTCAGAGCTGGTTCAGCTGCACATCAGTGCAGAGACTCAAAGATGAGCAGTAGAGTTGATTCTTTATTCAGGGAAACACAATACAGACAGAGAAACCTACGGGCAAAACTGGCCCCCAGTAAAGCAGTTGTCTGAATTGAAGATCTGGACCTCCTATTTCCCCTCTGTCTAGCTGTTTTCCCAGCAGTCTTAAACTCCATCTTAAACTCTCCCTGTGCTCTTTGCTCTGTTACACACAAGGCCCTCCGTGCCCTTGGAGACAAGGGAGGAGGAGGGATGAATATAGTAGGACTGCTGCAGCCTCACCCCCTACCTCCTCCTCAGCTGCCTGTCCTATGTCTGCAGTGCTTTCTGTCTTCTATTCCTGTCTCTCACTGAAGCCTGTTACTTGTTCTATGTGTATAGGGCAGTATACAAATTTAATGCATAAGCATCCGCACCCAACCCTTCTGGCCTTCCCCCTTCATCCTCTGACCTGTTTTCAGTGCCCCACCCCCAGGCTCTGAGCCTTCCTCTTCTGAGGCTTCCCGAGGGAGTTCTCCAACTGAAGACTCCCACCACTCCTCATCGTCCAGCCAGTCGCTGACACCCTTGCAGTAGGGCTGTGGCTGAGCGCAGCCTTACCCCCTGTTCCCCCCATATAGCTTTCCCACAGTCTCTCCCTCTCTTCAGAGAGCAGATGCAGAATTTGGGATGATCAAGACATTAACCTGAGAAACTTGGGGGAGGGTGTGTGTATTAAGGGAACATGTCCCAGAAAGCAACTTGCTGGGGGAGGGGGAATAGCCACTATGCTAGCTCCCCAGAAGGTGGGTCACTGGGAGGGATGTTGCCGCTGTGCAAATGCACCAACGGAGCCAATCTGGTGTTCCTGCTGGTGCATTCGCACTGCACCAACCTCTCCCCCACCTTGGCCTCCCCATACAAGCAGCCCACCCGCCAGGAATTCAGCACAGTGGCTCTGCCCACTTCTGACAGGCAGCATTTCAGTCTTGCGCCATCCAGGGTCCAAAGCAGCCCCTTTAGTATGTGGCTTCTTCAGGCAGTGCTTAAAAAGGCTCCTGCTTAAAGCCCTAGATTGTCATTGGGTAGAGAATACTGACTCCGTATAATGGAGCTTCCTATCCACCTAACAGCGTGTGGAAGACATGGGTAGGCAACAGGGTGGACTGAAACTCTCCTCATCCTTGACCAATTTGGCCATGCTGGCTGATGGGAGTTAGAGCCCACCAACACCAGAGAGCCATCCATTGGCTACCCCAGGAGATAATCAGTCAGGGACCCGTGCAGATGCTACAGCGCTACCCTCATGTCCTCTGTGAGAAACCCTGGTTAAATTTTATCATGGTTTTAAGTTCTCTTCTTTTAACAGATCCCTATAATCTCTCTCTCTTTCTCTCTCTCTCTCGCTGTGTGTGTTTTGCACAGCTATTGTTGGTTTCTGTGTGGATCTGCTTTTTGTCTCGGAGCTGGGGGAGGCCTTGTAACTCTCTCGCAACTCTTCCCTCAGGACAAAGATAAACTGGAAATCCGCAAGCTGAACGAGCCTCCATCAGCAGAAGCTGTGCGAGATATGATCAAATATGCCAGAAATGTGATTGAGGAATTCAGGAGGGCCAAACACTACAAATATATCCTTTGGTGTTCTCTTTCTCACTCGCTCTCTTTCTTATCTGTGCTCTCTGTTTAAGCTGAACTTTAGATTCAATTGAGCAGCCTCATTTTGTTGAGGCATGTCCAAAAATGCAATTCCCCAGCGTCAGGCTGCTGTATTCCTCTCTCATCTCCCCCCACCCCCTTGCTTTGTTTCTCAACCCCAGAGTTTCTTTTCCAGCAAGTAGGTTTGGTTTCCCTTAGAGCTGAACTTGGCTGCAGTAAAGCAAGGTAAAAAGTGATTTGCAACTGCTCTAGAGTGTAATTTGTTTGACCAACAATGCAAGAAAGGGAGTGTGCAAAGCTCTTTAGTCTAACACAGTAGGTGTGTGCGAGACCCTCCACTGATTTAACATTTCTTTGGTGTTATTTTACATAATTTTGGGGTGATTCCAGGTGGGTAATGCAATCCTAGCCCAGCCCAAGGATGGTCAAAGCAACAGAGTCACCACCACAAATGGAGCCCCATTGCTTCCTTGTTAGTCAGGGTCGACAGTGTAGAGGGGTTTCCTCTCTAGTAGCTGAACTGGTACAGGATCCAACAAATTTCAGGGTCCTATCCTGGCAGTGGGACGCGGGTGGCGCTGTGGGTTAAACCACAGCGCCTAGGACTTGCCGACCAGAAGGTCGGCGGTTCGAATCCCCGTGACGGGGTGAGCTCCTGTTGCTCGGTCCCTGCTCCTGCCAACCTAGCAGTTCGAAAGCACCTCAAAGTGCAAGTAGATAAATAGGTACCGCTCCAGTGGGAAGGTAAACGGTGTTTGCGTGTGCTGCTCTGGTTCGCCAGAAGCGGCTTAGTCATGCTAAGAAGCTGTATGCCGGCTCCCTCGGCCAATAAAGCGAGATGAGCACCGCAACCCCAGAGTCGGCCACGACTGGACCTAATGGTCAGGGGTCCCTTTACCTTTACCTTTATCCTGGCAGTAGCTTTGTGCTGGAGGTCAGGCCTCCAGTGCAGTGGAGCCCCCTCATTGGAAATCTGTGGGTCTGGGCCTGGAAATGGGTCCATGTTTCATTCTCACTCCCAAGCTCCATATCTGATGCTTCAGAGGGGCATGCAACCCAGTGCAGAGCACGCTGAATACTGCCACCCAACAGTGCCTCTGTCTCGATGGGCTTACATTACCTCTTGTTTGCCTGCATTGGCTTATCACTGATCCCAGACAGGGGTTCGGAACCTTCCTGGGAGCTGATGAAAATGCCAGAGAGAGACTAAGACTGATAATATTTTTCCCCAATTCCATTGACAGTCTTAGACAGCAGTTTCATGTACATTTTACAACATCATGTGGGAGAAGATGGAATTATGTGCACCTTCAAATGCCTGGGTATAAGAGTCCACCACCTGACCGTTGAGCTATCTGAGCTCAGGACCTCCTCCCAAGACAGCTAACAATAATGTTCAGATGCAGTTTGCCTCTGAATGCCATCTGCTAGGAACAAATACTTGAAGGGCTGTCATGGCAAAGATGGGGCAGGCTTATCTTCTGATGCTCCTAGAGAGCAGTTGAAATGGCAAGGAAACAGGTTTTTTAAGCTAAACCTCAGGAGAAAAAAGTCTATGCAACAGAGGAACAAACTGCCTCCAGATACACTGGGTTTTCTTTGTCTAATCAGAGGCCCAGGAATGTCTTTCTTGCATCCTGCATTGCACTTCTGGAGTGGAGCAGGAACTTGGACCACATGAGCTCTGAAGTCCCTTCCAACTTGTGTGTTTCTGCAACGGAGCAGGGCTATACGTTTCTGTATGGAACGCTTGTGATTTTGCTTAAGAAGGCTTTTAAGGAACAGGTGTTCAGCTGTGTAGCCCTGGAGTCATAACCGGGCATTCGTTCCCCGCTTACTCTCTGTGCTCCTTAACTTTTGGCTTACCCCCAAGTGAACTGCTCGAGGTTTGCGAGCTTAGCTTGGACAAGATGGGCGCTGTGTTTGTCGAGAGCAATGTTTACATGCTGCACATGATGTACCAGGCTATGGGAGTCTGTCTGTACATGCAAGACTGGGAGGGTGCTTTGCGCTACGGGCAGAAGATTATCAAACCGTACAGGTAGCGTTCCTGAATTTTTCTGTGTAATTTGTATGAAGTGTCTCTAAAGAAACACACCCACCCAAACACACCTTCACCTTCCAATTCAATGAACTGATCTCATTAATGACTGTTTCTGTGTAAGCCAAGCCTAGCAGGTAGAAGCAAAACAAGATAATTATGTGCTTGTTATCCCAAGAAACCAACTCCTGAATTATTTACATATTTCGGAAGCGGGGCTGTCAGCTGATTGAAGAATACTTAGTTGATTGTGTGAGGTTTAATGTTATTTAAATCTCCCTATGAATGAAATGGTAGCTTTGAGGGGGGAAGGGAAGCATTTTGTTGTAACTGAATGGGAGAAGGAACATACAAATATGTGTTGCAACGGGCATAATCTTGGAGGTATTCCTTTCTGTGTGATGGGAAGTGGGAAATCCCCTTAGAATTTTTCTAAAACAGTCCTTGCCAGGTGCAATTTTTATATGAAACATGGTTAGCACTTTTTAAAATTAGGTTGTATGGTGATTCAGGAGAATCATCCTAGTTGATAAAATGCCCCCCCCCCCCAAGGTTAGATTTGATCTACCAAGAGAAATCACTCAGTGGAGGAGGGGTTAAATCTGCATGGCAATTTTTATTTAAATACATATCTTTGAACATATTTTATCCAAAATATATGCATATTGGTACTTGTTTTCTGCTGGAAAAGGAGAAAATTTGGAGAAGTGCAAAAACTGTCTAGGAATTGTAAGTGGCTTAGAAACTACAATTAATCCAGAATAGGGCTGCTAGATTAGTGACTTGGAGCAGCTGCCGGGACCATATAACACCAGTCCTAAAAGATCAACATTGGCTCCCAGTTCGTTTCTGAGCACAAATCCAACTGTTGGTGTTGACCTTCAAAGTCCTAAATGGCTAAACCAAGAAAACTTTAATAAAAAATACTTTTTTAAAATAAAACCCTAAATGGCTTCGTCCCTGTATACCTGAAGCAGCATCTCCACCCCCATCATTCAGCCTGGACACTGAGATCCAGCTCCGAGGGCCTTCTGGCAGTTCCCTCCTTGCAAGAAGTGAAGTTACAGGGAAACAACCAGAGGGCCTTCTCGGTAGTGGCACCCGCCCACCCATCAGATATCAAGGAGATCAATAATTACGACTTTTTGTAGACATTTGAAGGCAGCCCTGTATCGGGAAGCTGTTAATGTTTGAGGTTCTGTTGTGTTCTTTTATATTCTGTTGGAAGCATTGCCTTGCAGTCCATGCAGAGAGGAGCACTACCAGCAGCATGTTAAGCTCAGAGACTGTGGCATGGCACACCCTACCGTTGTGTGTGAGCCAGTTGCAAGGCTGCTCAACGAATTATCTCGGGGCATAATTTTCTCTCCAGCTGTGGAGTGTAAACGAACATCTCCCTTTGAATCAGATGCCAGTATGAAGTCATAGATCAGCTGGTGGGGAGCGGTGACTGGGAAAACACAATGGCACATTCTTCCCCCAGAGCCTGAATCAGATTTATCACCCTGGTGATTTGCCTAGGTTTTTTGGTGGGGGGACTTGGAGACTGATCTTCTAAGCTGGTTTAGGCTGGCTGCGCAACCAGCGGCATGCTGACATTGCAGCTGCAAGATTGCTCTCGGGTTGCCCCTCTGCTCACCTGATCTCTGGTCTAAGTGTGTAGTTTGCCCTGAAAAAGTATGAGCCTCATTTGACCAAAGTCCATTTCATAAGGTGATCACAAATTGACCGTGTGTGTATATGTTGGCAACAGCCGGAGTGCGTTAGCAAAAAGAAAGAAAAGTGGAGCGCACCAATAATTCCTTCCATTGAAGAATAAGAGAGCAAAGTATATGCCTGTGGGGTTATGTCTGAATAAACTAATCCCATGAGATCAGAGTGGAAAGGCGAAGGGAACACTTTGACAGAATGGAATACTGGCAGAATAGAGCACATACAGCTATGACACAATTCCTTGATTTATTAAAAGTAAATGGATAAATGTTATTTTTACAAAGTATTTTATTTTTTGTGCAATTTGTTTTATGTTTGTCCTGTACAATTCATTTGGTGAAATTGTTACGCATGTTTAAAAAGAAAATGGTAAATCAACCATTATCAATAATTGCATAAAAGGAAGGGCAAGATGTGTGTCTTGGCCTGCCGAGCTGTTGCAAACAAATTTTGTAGAACTGAGGTTTCAAGTTCTGGTGAAAGCAGATGTTGTTCCTGTTTTTCTTTTTTTGCAGTAAACATTATCCTTTATATTCCCTCAATGTGGCCTCCATGTGGCTGAAACTGGGGAGACTTTACATGGGCCTGGAAAACAGACCTGCTGGCGTTAAGGCTCTCAAGAAGGTATCCTCACACACCCACACACCCAGCCCCTTAGATGCTCTTATGACATGCATATAAACGTTTCGCTTGGGTAGAAATTCTGAACTGCCTTTGCATACCTATAGTACTTAATTTTCCAGCCACCTTCTACAGCTTCCTGAATTGGCAAAATGAAAGTCCTCCTCCCATTCCACAATGATTATTTTAGAACTCAAATTTATGGATCGTACTTTTGCTCCTACCTTTGATGCCCCGAATCTCCTTCAATTGAGGTGGCAGCAACCAGCAGTTCAATTTAATTGGTACACACGGTTTTCCCAACAGGATCCGTCACTGAAAAGTCACTCTCAGTTTCTGCGGTTTTGTGTACAATCAAGAGCTGTTCAGAAACTGAATGTTCTTGGCTCTGATGGAAGCTGGCATATGGCACAAGGCAGATTGCATTTCAGTAGCTATCTTGAATGTTAGTGCATATGGTAGTCAAAATATTTTTTCCCCTGTAGCTGGAAAACCTTGTTAGGTGGGGTGGGGGGGCAGGCAGTGTATTGATCAGTTGTGGAGGGCTTTGGTTTGGCCTCCCCTTCCTCCCCTTCACCTTGCAAGGACTTTGCTGTGGAGCCCTCTCTATACTGACAGACATGTGAGCATTAGTTGGTAGGGCATCCCTAAGGCAGTGGTTTTCAAACTTCTTGAATTCACGGCTCCCTTGACCAGCTACATTCTTTATGTGGCACCCCTGTGGGGCTCAGGAGCCCAGTTCTGTCACCCCTTTCCTGCAGAGCTGGTAGCCTCTCACCCTTTTTTGAACACCCTTGTGGAGTGTTCCCTCAGCCTCCTCTCATCTCCCCTCTCCTTGGGAGTCCTCTGGACAGCTGTTGCCACCATCCTTGGCTGCCCCTCCCTGCCCCAAAGAGAGGTGCCTCCTCACACTGCCCCACAGGGGCTGGGACTTCTCTGTCCATTCCCAACAGCAAGGGCTGGTTAGCTGGGCTTCCTTGCCCGCTTGCTTGCTTGCTTTCTCTGAGGCTGCCTCGGCTTCTGGCAACCAGTACCCCCTGGCCAACCCCAGAGGCACCATTCGCCTGGGGAGCTTGTAGCCAGGGATGCCGCAACAAACAGCTGTACAAGCCTTTGGGAGGCAGAGACACAAGAGGGCATCAGAGGAGGGAGGGAAGGAAAGAGGGACAGAGACCAGTGTTGCCCACAACACCCCTGACCATCATTCAAGGCAGCCCAGGGTGCCACGGCACACTAGTTGAAAACCACTGCCCTAAAGCAAAGATGGAAAAAACAGCTGGATTTTCTACATCGACCTAGAAATGGTGTTGTTGAGCTTCGCCAGTGACTCCTAGGCTTGCTGTGTACAGCTTCCTTAATTTTTTAGTTACCTTAATTCAGTAAGGTAGGGATGGCTAAAACATGCTTCTGCTGCACAGGTGTGCACCATCAAAAGGAGGATTCAGGTGGACCTTTTTAAAATAGCATGTAAAGTATTAATTTACAGTGCAATCCTGTACATATCTATGTAGAAGTAAATCCCATTAAGTTCATTAGAACTTACTCTAGGTAAGTGGGTACAGGCAATGACTGATTTGCACGGGGGTTCTGTTCTTGATCCCCATGCACATTGACGGAGCACGCATAAGCCTGCTCCATCCCGTTATGCCTCACTCCACCCCCTTGTCCAGCCACTTCCGGGTTGCCGTGATGCCTGCGGTTGCAGTTGCATGTCAGTTGGTCGTTGCCTGTATAGGGTTGCAGCCTTGGTTACAAACTTTATTTTGCAGATGAAGACCAAAGTAGTGCAACACAGGCTTGAAATGCAGATCCCAAGAAGTCGCCTCAGTGCCAGTGGCTCCAGGCAACTTGGCAACTAAGCTTCAACTTCTATCTGCAGCATCTGAATGCTGTGGCTGTTGCGTCATAAACTCGGGGGGAAATTGGTTACAGGAGGACCAGCAAGGGGCGACATTGGAGCTATTCTAGTCAGAGTAGCAGATACATGGAGGGTTGTGGTCATCCCGGTTAATGGCTAAAGCATCACCCTCTCCCATTGACCATCCAGACTCCATCTTGCTTTCAAGTACAAGCAGGCCCAAATTCTGCTCGAAGCAGCTCTGCCTGAGAGTCATCTTCTGGTTAAGTTTAGAACAGAAAGGCAGATACAATGTCGTTTAACTTTTTGCTTGTCTGTGCCTTTCAAAAGAGTTTGGAGATCTCTTAGGATCAAAAGGTGCTGTGTATATAATAAGGTTTGATTCTTTACAATCAAATGGGCTGTTTTCAGTTGGGTACATTTAAGGGGACAAAAACCAGTCAGAGGTTTCTGACTCTTTGGAATCCCTGACGAGAACATTTCATAAACCAAGGCTGTCTGAATCAATTGTATTTTTTCTCTCCCTCTTTCGCAGGCAATTGCCATCATGGAGATAGCACATGGGAAAGATCATCCATACGTTATAGAGATCAAAAAGGAATTAGAGGCCCACTGAGTCTTTGAATCTATGCAATCCTTCAACCTTTCTTTAAAAGCCTTGCTATGGAAACTTCAGGAGTGCTTTGAAAATTGACATGGGATGAAAGCTTTTCTGTAAAATAATTGGAATGACAAACATGTGGTGCACCCGGGCCTTACCTCTTGCATTCTCTGAGGTTGATGTGAAATATCTTGAGCCTTGATGAATTAATTTTGAATGCTTTTCCCCCACTAAGGAAATGCCACGGTTTCATACAGCTAATGCCTTTGATGGATCATGTGCAGAGATGACCAATTCTTTTCTCTACAGATTTTAATGTACTATGTATCTTAGCCATGCAAAGCAATTAATTAAAATGGGACAGCCTTGCTTGAGCCTTGCTTGATTGCTTTCCTTCTTATTGTGACATGAGCTTTGTCTTTCAAAAAATGCATTGCAGGCACATTCATTGTAGCTGCAGCATTTGTCGTAGCTGCAACATTTGCACTCCAAAATTTTGCTACAAACTCAGCTCTTGCATATATTGACTCCAGTTATTCATTTCTAACACTGTGTGTCCACGCTTAGGATAACAATGTCAACATGGATAATGGAAACATACTGTTCCCTGCAAATTGTGTATGGATGTATTAGCACAAGTTTCTGGGGTCTTACGTATCTTCAGGAATAAGGAGAGATGTAGGGTTGACTTTACTATTGTTCTTTGGTAAGAACTGGATGCAGTATCACCCAAGAAACTGGTTCCAGTCAATTAGCTTTGCAGCCCAATCTTACAGAATCTTAGCAGCTCCAAAACAATAGGAGGAAGATTCCAAAGGGCAGGACTAGAACCAAAGTGCGGAAAATACAGGGAAGCCAATTTGAGCTAAACATTAGGAGAAACTTCTTAAGAACGTAAGAGTCCTGTTCCATCAGGTCAGTGGCCCATCTAGTCTAGCACACTTTTCTCACAGTGGTCAACCAGATGCCTTTGCAAAGTATGCAAGTAAAACCTGACCTCAACAGCATTCTCCCCAGCTGCAGTTTCCAGCAACTGGTAGCAACTGGTAGTTAGAAGCAGAGGAGGAGGAGGAGGAGTTTGGATTTGATATCCTGCCTTTCACTCCCTTTTTAAGGAGTCTCAAAGCGGCTAACATTCTCCTTTCCCTTCCTCCCCCACAACAAACACTCTGTGAGGTGAGTGGGGCTGAGAGACTTCAAAGAAGTGTGACTGGCCCAAGGTCACCCAGCAGCTGCATGTGGAGGAGCGGAGACGCGAACCCTGTTCCCCAGATTACGAGACTACCGCTCTTAACCACTACACCACACTGGCTCAAGAGAGAAAAGCAGAGAGAAAAGAGAGCAGTTCAGCAGTAGAGCAGATGATGATTATTATTATTATTATTATATTTTATTTTGCTGGAGATATTTAGGCAGAGGCTGACAAAGCAGTCTGTCATGGATGCTGTCATTTCATCCTCCATTGTTGATCCTGCACTGAGTAGGAGCTTGGATGAAATAAAAGTCAAAGGTCCCTTCCACCTCTGCGATTCTCCATGTGTGTAGAAATTTTCTTTTTCCAGTGTTGCATATTAATCTCTTCTAGTTTCATAAAAGTTCCCTCCCTTTAAAACCTGAAACCTTCTGTACTTGGCGATGTTTTCAGAGCAGCCATCTTAAGTGGAACTTACCTGAAAGGATGTGCTTCTATGGAATCTGGATAAACTATAAATGAATGAATGAATGCCAGCAGCATAAATTCTCAGTGAAATCCTGTGCACGTCTACCTCAAAGTAAGCCCCACTCCTTTCAGTGGGGCATATGCCCAGGTGCATGTGCTCAGGATTTCAGCTTTGTTTTATGTCTGTTGTATACACACGGCCATGTGTAGTGGCTTGGGATAGGCATGAGGCTCTGTATTTCCCCCTCCTCCCTTAAGAAGGCGTTCCTCTTCTGCAGAAAGCAAGCATTATGATGACGTGCATCAAGATACACCTTAAGGTGCACATGTTTGTCCAGGGCCCTCCACTGAGCAGCTGAAGCTCCACATACAGGATGTGTGTGGAACGGGTCCGTGTGGAAGTTAAATGGTTAGATCTGCCCTATTTGTGCTCCTGAGTAGCAGTATTTAGTGCACAGAGGCAGCACCGACCAACTGCATGCTGTGGACAGAAGTACTGCCCAGGCTTTCCCTCCTCTCTGAAGGTACTGCCATAAACTCTCACACTTCAAAATATAAGGACGAACAGTTGGAAGCTAACACTTAACAAGTCCATAGAAGGCCCTGAAGCACATGTTTTACAGGAAATGAAATTAGTCAGTGAAACATAATTTCCAAGCAGATGGGCCATGTCTTGATACTTTCAGATAGCAGAGTTTTAATCAAATGCTTGCTATGGCTGGGATGCAGCAGTTGATGAAAATCTTTCTGTGAATCGGATTGCTGCTAGCGGATGGGACAGTGTTGCCAAACTCCAAACAAGGGGTGCTAACAGTGCAGTTCTAAAATGGAAGGCAATTGGAACTAACTCGAGTAATGGCTGTACCTTAGGCACACATGCGAAGGAAAAGCAATAGGATCATCTCTTTACTTGCTACCCTTTGCTATCTCATCACATCAAGATGTCTGCTAGATAAGAGAGTAGAATTGCTATCAGGGATCAATATACACACTGCTGGATGGCACAGTTAGAGGAGGGTGTCTTTTTATTTTGGACTCTGTTTACAGCCTTGTGATGCTCCTGGGATGCTTTGAGACTAGTCACTACGACCATTGTGTGTGAACTGGGAAATAGCATGTGAGCTAAGGACTTTGTGTGCAGGCCACACAAAATGAAGTTGCAAAGGCACTTTACATCTTTTAATATTCTAGTAGATAAGCTTAGCAGCCATGGGCTCTTCCCCCACCCATCCTCTGAACATACATCCTACAAACATACAAGCATCACTTACCTCCCAGCATGCAAATTTATTGTGCAAAATTCACTGCACTCATTTATCATCCTGCAAGCACTGTGGCATTGCGGTGTAACCTGGGTAATATTGCCTAATCCAGGGGTCAACAAACTTTTTCAGCAGGGGGCCGGTCCACTGTCCCTCAGACCTTGTGGGGGCCGGACTATATTTTGAAAAAAAATAAATAAATGAATTCCTATGCCCCACAAATAACCCAGATATGCATTTTAAATAAAAGGACACATTCTACTCATGTAAAAACATGCTGATTCCCGGACCGTCCGTGGGCCGGATTGAGAAGGTGATTGGGCCCGATCCGGCCCCCAGGCCTTAGTTTGCCTACCCATGGCCTATTCCATCAAGAATGTTGGAAGATACATGGTCCTTGCTTTGCACCAAAGTATGAGACCAGGCATTTAAATTGACATCATTCCCCGTCACTGAGAAAATGCTGTAACACATCCCTTCTTTCACAGGTGCATGGCAACCCTCCCATTTTTTGCAGTCATATATTATGCTGGCTGGTAGAGATGGACACAGTCCTACTCTATAATGAGGGAAGTTACAATGTTCAATAAATATATCCCATCCGTTGTCTTCAAATCAATAAGATGACCACTAGAATTTTGAGGGCAGAAAGTTTTATTGCATAATATGAAGGCTAAGCATAGTCTCTTACAAAACAAAAGCTTGAGGCAAAACTTTCTTGCGCTGCAAAAGGCAGGTATTTACACAAAGGTAGTGTGAGGAGTAAAAAAAATATTGCAATTATTAATGCTGAAGAAAACTTTATAAAAACAGGAAGGAAAAGGAAAAAAAGTGCAAAAATACTGTCAAAAGTCAATCGGTTCCATACAAAACAAAACCGACAAGCATAAGCTTATGTTCTGATATGAATATACATTAGGGTACAAAATAGCATGCATGCATAGATTTCTTTTATTTAAAAACAGACTTGCAATAGTACAAAAAGGTGTCTGGCAGTCATACCGGATTAATGGAGATAAAAATAGTTGAACTCAATTGTTTACAAAATTTATACATACAGAAGAACGTAAGTCTTTCTCATAATGGCTCTGGACTCAACAAAGAAAATCCCTGGTGATACACAAAAATACTGCAGTAAAACCAGACTAACAACAATCCAGTGATGTAAAATTGATTTAGTGTGTTAGTCTGTATAACACAAGTCAGATATGATTATACAGGTGCAATACAGAAATAATGCACATGCAACCGTTCTGTAAAACAGATACTCCTGTTTACACAAAGAGAGAGAACGTTCCCATCAGAGGTGATCCCAACAGGCTAATTTTAGTTCCTTGCAGCTTCTATTTTTTATTATTGTTAATGCCTTTAAAGGCAGCAGCAGATAGCAGCAGAAAAACAAGAGTTTTAGAAGAACAGGGGCTGCGATGAATTAATTTCCAGGTGTTATGTTTTGAGGGAAGGAGGGAATTTAGATTCTGAAACTGTTAATGGAACCAGGGTTCATAAAAAGTGTTTCTTATTTTATCTTCTGTGCGTGCCCTACCATGGCATTTAAGCCACTTTGCAAAAATCTGCAGCATACAACTATAAAAACATCTGTAAGGCAGGCAACAAAAGCGGTTAAATACAGATAGGTAAGCCACGACCAGTCTAAAAAATTCAACCAACTGCCATTGGTCCTCTTCAGATGTTATTGCCCTCAGATGCAACATAGGTAGAGAGGAGTTGCAGAGACATGGCCTAAGCCAGGGGTCAGCAAACTTTTCAGCTGGGGGCCAGTCCCCTGTCCCTCAGACCTTGTGGGGGGCCAGACTATATTTGGGAGGGATATGAACAAACTCCTATGCCCCACAAATAACCCAGAGATGCATTTTAAATAAAAGGACACATTCTACTCATGTAAAAACATGCTGATTCCTGGACCGTCCACGGGCTGGACTGAGAAGGCGATTGGGCCAGATCCGGCCCCTGGGCCTTAGTTTGCCTACCCATGGCCTTCTCCTGGGGCGGTGAAACACCTCCCAGCACCTTGTGTGATCTTCCAAGGTTCTCAAATGCTCTGGGAGCCTCTGCAGATACACAAGGCTCCATGATGCAGAAGTTCACATAAAGCTAGGATGTACAAGGGAGATTTCACCTGGTACCGGAAGATAGCAATGATGATGCCTGGAATATGTCCCTGAGCAGTGCTTCCGTAATCTGGGGACAACCAGATAAAAAGGCCCCCCATCTACAATAGCTACCCATTCAACATTAGAAAGCAGGAATGTTCATAAAATAGGAACCAAATATCTATGTTTCTGAGAAGGTTCATATGGAAGAAGAATGTTCTTACAGTGCACCTAGTGGAGGAAGCCAGAGGAGGCCTTTTCAGGAAGATTTTAAACTGTGAGGAGATCCATATAAAAGAAAGCAATGCTTCAATAATTTAGGGCTTAAGAGGCCATCACCAGCACTTTGCTTTGGGCCAGGAAAGCTCACTATGGTTTTGCTCGACGTCTGGACTAGCTGTAATCCCCAATAATAATATGACAGGTGTGACAGTCGTGACCTAGATATCACTAAAGCAAGAATCATCATGGCCAGTTTGGATTTGCCCAGGGAAGGGCATAAAACTACTGCTGCCATCTTACACACGCTTAAACTGTCAACAAGATTCTCCTAAATCTTTAATAAAAATACATTTTAAAAAACCCAAGACTCTCCTAAAAGTTAACGAAGTACTGGTCATCCAACAAAGCCAGAAAGGTCATGGAGTTTGGGTGCACAGGTCAAATGTCAGGCAGGGCGATTTAGTAAAGCATTAATTTTCTGCAGAAATGGGGTTCCTATAAACATCACTTTTCTTTGTATGCAGATACCTGGTTAATAACAGTTTATATTAATCTCCCAAGTTAAATGAACCCTTGGGACACAACCCAGGTTCCTCAACAAATCTTGCTTCTTTCAGCAAATGGGTCCCTCACAGGACCCATTCTTGAATAGGCATGTGGTTTTTCAACTAACTTTATCTGGATTACGGACTACTGAGCAGAGACTTGTGTTAATAAAAGAAAAAAAAGCCAAAGGGCTGCATAATAAAACTATGGCAAAGTCATGGAAAGCAACTCTCTTAAAAGTCCTGCTCTCATTTATTCTGGGGCAAATTCATTCCCAAACTTGAATGCGATCCGAGAAGGAACTTGGGTTTTGAGAAAGCACTTCATTGAAATCACAACCTTAAGTTTTACTTTTGTCAAGTGACCCTACTAAAACCGGGGGGGGGGGGGGGGGAGAGAACGGACGACACCAGTATTGATATACTGGTGAGTGTTATAATTAAGGGTAGAGAGGAATAACTGAAGTTATGCAAGGATCTCTTGTTTTGAGTAAGATGTTAAGAAAGTTGTCAAGGTCAAATCTACTGTGAAAAATCACACTAAATTTAACAGGCGTTTTAATTTAAAAAGAAGGAAAGTCACTTTGAACACCATCAGCCATTTTAGGAATAGCATGAAAATTGTTGCTTATTATGTTAGCAACTATTTGGCTCGCTGGTGAGCATAGTTCGCTCATTGCAGGAGGCTTTCCCTTGTAATTTTGTGTGCAAGATGTGTGCACTGTGACAAAAAGCCTTGGCGGCTTTGCATCGACTTCTCCCTTTTAGCATCCATTATGCCTGCTTATTAAATATGGCTCTTTTTTTGTTTGTGCACTTCCAGAAAAGCCAAGAATATACCCATTCCAACCCAGATCTCGTCATAATCAGACCTCAGAGTGGTTGATTTCCCCCATCTTACTCCCTACCTGTCAGGCCAAATGGAGCAATGGGACTTGACAGCTCTGGGTTCAAACTTAATTCATCATTAGGAAATTATTCAAAAAGCTATAATGAGATAACTAATTTAATACACTTTGCTTCAAGGTTTATTCCTTGGCCGGCTTCCCAGATACAAAGCGTCTCTGTGCAATTATCATGCAGATGCCACTAAAAGACTTTAAATGGTTGCAGCTAATTTAACAAGAGATATGTTGGCATCGGCAAGGAGATGCTGGACTGAAAATTGGAGTTAACTAAGGAAGCAGCAGAATTTCTAAAGGTGCATCAGCAAGAGGCTTTCCCTGTGCTTTCTTCACTTAATCATTTTGGGGGCAACTTGAAGTATCTCAATGTGGTCTACCATTTCATTAGGAGGTATAAAGTCTGATTGATTCGTCAATTAAAAACATCACTTTCAGGGAGAAATCCTAAGCTCCCAAGAAGGGCAGTTGGGAGTCCCACTGGAAACTGTGCCTCTCTGCAATCTGAAATGGAAGTCTGTGGCTACAGGCCTCCTGTCACTGAATGAATGTCATGGGTGGCACTGAAATGTCATTGGTGTCTCAAGGGTGAAAGGGTTAAAAAAAAGGTCACATCAGTGGCAGATCCGGATCTAGTAGATTCAAAGCCCCGTCATTGTCGAAATTGGCCCCCAGAATTGGAGCCTGGGGGAAGGGAGAGAGACTACACGGATGGAGTTATTTTCCCTCCCACTGGATTTCCATGGGATTAAAATAACAAAAACCTTTCATTTCTTCCAATGGAAGAGGAAAAGCCTAACAAATAAAAAGTGGGTGGGGGAGAACAATGGAACTCCCTCCATGATGTATTCCTCCACCTCCCTCCATAGATCTGCTCTAAAGGTCAAAGTGTGCAGCTTGATTATGTACCAGTACTTATAAAAGGGTACAGATAGGAAGCCATCACCATCTTAAAAATACACATTTCTCCTTTTCTCTTACGCAGAAGAGAATGCCTGTTCTAAGATGAGCTCTGCTATGATGTTTGTGTCCATTACCTAAACATAAAGGGAACTCATTTCTTTGCTTCAGAAATTGAGGGCTGGCTTCAGCTAATCAGCGGTTCTCAACCTGTGGATCCCCAGATGTTGTTGGAGTACAGCTCCCATCTTCCCTGACCACTGGTCATGCTGGCTAGGAATGATGGGAGTTGTAGTCCAACAACATCTGGGTACCCACAGGTTGAGAAACACTGAGCTAAGTAGAACCCAGCACAATGAGTTCTGTAGTGCAATTGGACTCCCCGCCCCACCCCCCATTCTTTGTCCTCCCCACACAACACCCCTCATGCCTTCCCACATCTGCTTGGGAAGACTGGGAGAACCCCCAGTGATGGCAGAGGAGAAGGGAGATTTAATACAGTAATGTCTGAACTGGCGGAACTGTCACCTTTGCGCAACATCGAGTTCCACCCAGTGTTTTTTATTCACACTCAACAAATGAAATTAAAATGCATACGACTGGTTAAATGAATAAAAACTGGGATTTGTCCCTGCTTTCTTTTGTTACATCCAATGTTGCTCTTGGGGAAGAAGGGTACCAGCTGCCTGCCAACCTCAGCAATAGCTGCTTAAGCACTATTGCCTGAAATTGACGGCATGCAAAGAAACAAACAAACAGAAGGCCAAAGAACAACTGACAGAACATCATCATTGAAGGAGGGGCCATGCACAGCTTAGAAGTGGAAAGCACCTTCTTCCTGCAAACAATTCCATGGCCAATCATCAGGTTTCCCAGTTGAATGGCCATCGGACAGCCACTGCCAGTCTAGACTAGGAGGGCACAGGTCTGGCTCAAAATACAAGGCAGCTTCTGATGTTCGAAAGTATTTCTTTACCATAAAAATGTACTCTAGGAATCAGAGAGTGGATATTTATGGTACCCACGAGGTCTGTTGAAATGAGTGGGAGCTGTGAAATCTCTTGGGCCTGCACAGAAGAACTTCCCAGTGGCTGGTTCCCTGAACAAGGCCTGAGCAGGCTTCAAACTTTCTTTTGTACTAGAACTCTGATGTCCACTAAGGGGAGAAAAAAGTGGGAAGACAAAGACTAAGAATTAAAGAGAAGGGAGCCTCTGAGCATGTGCTCAGCCAAGGAATTTGTGATCATTACCAGAATTAAATCCACATACTGTTTTCACACAAAATCAGTTCTGGTTTCAATCCCAAATGTTCCATAAACTCACTGATAGGCCTGGGTGGGGGTGGATTTTGCCCTGTCTGCATTTTTTAAAGCAAACAAACCCCATTCTCACTTTCCGGGGACAAAGGCATGGAATGGAAAATCATCACTCTTCAGCTTTTGCACTTTCCCAAATTTTGCTACACGCTAAAGTACCAAAAATTTGTCTGTTTAAAAAAGAGAAATCTGCATTTTACAGTAAAATACATTTAGAAACCCGTACATTTCTTCTGCGATAAGATATGCAGTTAAATACACATTTAGAATACGTATTTAGATTTGTATTTAAATATGAGTTTTCGTACAGAGTTTTACTTTTCTAAAAAAATAATAATCAGATTTAATGTGAAAACAAGGCGGAATGTAACTGATAGCCAAAACATGTGACAAACTGACACACAACCAGAAACAGGACCAGGTGATCCATTTCTACTCACAAGATCCTTTGCTCAGTCAAGTGAAATCGTTTTCCTGAGCCAGGATTCAATACCATTTATGGGAGAAAAAGGAAGTGAAGTGCGTCTGGGGTGTTAGAGGATAATGTCAATGACAGATTCTATTTAAACCATTTGAGCTTTTTTTTGTGGCTACACATACAGAAGTATTGCTTTCAACCATCACCAAGACATTATGAGCATTCCTGCCCAATGCTGCTCACCTGGATGTTAAGAGTTGACTGGAAAACCAGGCTGTTTCCCTGTAAAAAGCTGCAACATCACACAGAGCAACATCTGTTTTAGGCGCATCTGATATGTGTGCGACTGCACACACACGCATCCCACTGAACGCAGAAGAGACTCGAAAACATCACAATAATGTCACAAAAGAGGGCAGAATCAGGTGGGGGTTGAATGGGGTGTTTGCAGCCTTTTCAATGGTGTTTCAAAAAACATGATTTCATTTATATGTGCGGTGCATTGGAACGTAACCCCTGCGTAAATTGGGAGTTGCCTGTATAGAAAAAGATACTTGCTTTTAGATTCGGACAAAATCCATTATTTTTTAATGTGAGTCACCTCTTCTATGCCCTGAAAATAGGTTGCATCCCTCCAAATTGAGGAATAAAAACAGCCTACCAGGTCGTACGGAAACGCAAAAGTCGAGAGAACGCTGTCAGATAGGAACTGTCAGGTTGTAAAAAGAAGGTCAGCCATATGAAATGTGTTTCCATAATTCCAAAGTCATAACGTGTTTCACAAATTAAGAACATTCACACATCATTGCGAGGAAAAATAATAATAATAAATTATCTCGTATAAAATAATTTGTAGGAAGAACAAGGTCTCCCTACTGTCAATTTTGCGTATTCGTCACAAAATACTGCCAAAAGAACACGCCCCGCCCCCCACAACAACATGGAGGGAGGGATTCTCAGCCAGATCCAGAAGGCTGCATGTATGGGAAAACAGCTGGGTCTCTTCTGAGGCTGTTAAATGAGTCTAGAGTTTTGAAGGAAGAGGATGAGGACTTGATAGACAAATTTATACTGAGCGATGGTTTGGATCATGAACATCCTTTGCTCCCTCAGGTGTTGCAGCATCACTGGAACATCCACTCTCTGCAAAATCAAAGGAATATAAATATGTAAAAATATGTAAAAATATGTAAAATATGTACAAATTTACAAATATAAATATGTTTTAAAAAAATGTGACGTGGGAGAAACCGTGAAGCCGGTCCATCGCTTCCCTCATGATTCCTGCCGCCCCTGTTGCTCCGTACATTAAAATAGGAAATGTTAATAACATGTTAAAGGTAAGTAAAAGATGTATCCGTTTTAGAACCCTAAAGCAGCAGAGGTTGCCAGGACATCACCCCGTTTGCTTCTACATAGTTCCATCCTTATTTCAGACATCGTGATATATCAGTATAGAGCTATGTTTAGCTGGTGATAGATCATGATGTTGAAAACCAGACATCGCCCAGCCCTTCTCAGTAGCTATCAAAACTGGTACGGTGAACGAAATTGCAGAAAACAGAGTGGAGATAGATAAGATGGCAAAATTAGAGCAAACTGCACATGGAGCGGCCATTAAAAGGATTTATTATCGTCTTCATATGAGAAAAAGAGAACAGTAATGACTTCCTAGAAAAGAGGTTGGGAAATCAAAGGACATCTGTCACTGAGCAACAGCCAGCTCTTTCTTCCAGGCCGCAAGCTCCTCACCTGAGAGAATTGCTCGCTCTGCATCAATGGCTCAACAGTCTCCCCTCACTCACCTAGTCACTACAGTCATTAGGGGACTGGCGAATCTCTCGACCCACCAGCCAGGCTTTTCCCGCCTTTGTAGAATTAGTACACTTCTCACCTCATCACTTTATCTCACCAATGGCCTTCTTCAACTCTGCCATTACCTTTTTGACTGGAAGAGTCACCCTGTTAGAATTTCACTCCTCTGTTGCTGGATGTGTGATTGTTACATCACATGTCAGTGTTTACTTTCTAGGCTTGGAAAGTGTGAGAACGGAAGTCAGTCTTATCTCTCTTCCCGCTGTACTGTACTATTGTACTTTTCTTTCTCTCTCTCTCTTGGAGAAGAAGTGAGAGAACGCCATGATTGCTTTTTCCTGCATATAAGGTAAAGGTAAAGGGACCCCTGACCATTAGGTCCAGTTGTGGCCGACTCTGGGGTTGCGGCGCTCATCTCGCTTTAGTGGCCAAGGGAGCTGGCGTACAGCTTCCGGGTCATGTGGCCAGCATGACTAAGCTGCTTCTGGCAAACCAGAGCAGCACAGGGAAACGCCGTTTACCTTTCCGCCAGAGCGGTACCTATTTATGTACTTGCACTTTGACACATTTTCAAACTGCTAGGTTGGCAGAAGCAGGGACTGAGCAACGGGAGCTCACTCCGTCATGGGGATTCGAACCACCGACCTTCTGATCGGCAAGTCCTAGGCTCTGTGGTTTAACCCACAGTGCCCCCCGCGTCCCTTGTCCTTTATATTTTGCTTAATAAATCACTTAGAATGCTACACTCATGCTCCACGGTTGTTTCTGCTATACTCTGCTAATTGAGTGTGCACATGTCTTCAGACATGTGTCACTGGTGCGCACTGGGACTGATTTGTGATCGTCCTGGGCTGCGCTTCATAAGGAAGACGCCCAGAGAGGTCTGTCTCATTCCGGGGGCTGCGTGTGCCCCCCAGGCGTGTTCCGACAACCCTGAGAACAAATGCCTTCTGTCCTTTCCCTCTAAACTAACCTCAGGATTTCACACCAGTTTCATTCACCAAACCACATTCCTTTCCAGTGTACAGACAACCTCATTTCTGAAACTTCCCTTTCCACACAAAAAGCGGCTTTCCCAAGCTGGTTCCCTACAGATGTTTGCGGACTGCAGACTCCCATCAGCCCCAGCCGGCTTGGAGTTTGTGATCCAAAACATCTGGAGGAAACCAGGTTGGGGAAGACTGGCACAGACCATGCCAATGTGGCAAGAGCCTCTTTAGCTCCCTTGCCACGGAAATAAGAGGACTTTCTTTTGATTTCATGCAGGCCGCTCTGGGAGCCTTTCTGGCTGAAGAGCGAGGTACAAATGCTCTAAATAAATAATTGCATCTTGCATCACTGGGCTTTGGGAAGTTCTCAAACTGGTAGTAATCTCCGCTTCTCATGCATTCCTCTCCCTCGCCGTGAGGAGAAAGACCATACAGAGAGCCCTTCTCGATTAGGCCAAAGGCCCATCAAGACCAGCAGTGACCAACCAGATGCCTATGGAAATCTGCAAGTAGGATTCTGAGGCAACAGCACTCTCCCCATCTGTGATTCCTAGCAACCAATATTCAGAGGCATAGTGCCTCTACAATGGAAGGGGAACACAACCATCGTGGCCAGTAGCCACTCAGCCTTATCTTCCATGAATTAATCATCTGGCCTGTACTAGATTTGGGGGGTCAGCAGTTCCCCAGCTACCCAAAGAAGCTGATGAAACTAGCATTATACTGAGGCAGACAGCTGGCTAGAACTGTCTGTTGCTCTCCAAAGGCCTCAGGCAGAGATCGTGCCCAGCACTGCCACCATGACCTGGTGTTTCAGCTACAGTGAAATCACAACAGTCTAGGAGAGCCAGTGTGGTGTAGTGGTTAAGAGCGGTAGTCTGCTAATCTGGGGAACCGGGTTCGCGTCTCCACTCCTCCACTTGCAGCTGCTGGGTGACCTTGGGCCAGTCACGCTTCCTTGAAGTCTCTCAGCCCCACTCACCTCACAGAGTGTTTGTTGTGGGGGAGGAAGGGAAAGGAGAATGTTAGCCGCTTTGAGACTCCTTAAAGGGAGTGAAAGGCGGGATATCAAATCCAAACTCTTCTAGGACAAGAAAGAGCGTATTCTTAGCGGCTGCACCCAGATTATGGAACACCTTGTCCTGTGAAGGTTGCTAGCTCCTTCCCTCACTCATTTTTTCCAGTAATATTGATTTGTACAGCTTTTATATAAGTTTGCAATCTGCTCATGTATCGTTCATGAGCTATATATTTACAATAAAGCAAAAGCATTGCACGGTTGAATATTGTTCTGGTATTTATCATTCCAAGGCATTGCAAACAAGAGACCCTCTTTCTATAAACTTACCTGGTTCTTCTGTAACATGTTTGGTCATTATTACGATGGTTTGTATTTTAATCAAGCTAATCTGCCAATCCTGGGGTGCCATTCTATTTCCAGTTCTTTGCAATACTTATTTTTGCAGCTGTCAATAACTGAAAGCCTTTTTATTCTAGCAGGCATTTACTTTATGAGGCAGACAATGTTCAATCAATCAATCAATCAATGTTTAGTATGGCGAATGGTCAGCAATAGAGGCAGACAATGTTCTTAGGGTGCTTGGTTTAAACCGCCACCTGGTCTCTCAGTTTCTCTGGAATTGTTTTGCATTGTTTTCAGGAATGGCAATTTTTCATGTAGTTAGCTGCCCCGTGTAGTGTCTTTTAGATTAGGAGGCTGGGATATAAAAAATTAAATAAAGGAAAATTTAAATAAAGGAGATCTTGTTACATGGACTAATGTACTAATGAGGGCAATTATTATTATTTCTTTTTAAAATAGTACAGTCCAGTTCATGTATTACTTTCTCCCTGAAAAGAATGAGAGTGGGGTACACATACCCAAGTCTAGAACCAGGTAGACAGCACCAACCAGAATGCAAAGCCCGAATAGGACCACATTGACCAGGTTTCCTGATGGAGCAATCCATTTGAGGCACCTCATTCAGGCAGATGCAGGTTAAGAATGCCAGCTCTCTATTCTGAAATTTGCTATACTTGCACACTCTTACTAAAGAATGCTGCTGTGCAGAATCTGATAAACAGCTCATGATCTAATTGCTTTGCTAAGCCAGTTAGAACTTAGCTTTGCCTAGGCATGGGGGCAGGGAATGCAGACCAGTTGGGACTTGCACAGCCCAACCCAATAACTGAGCATCTGCCATATTTCTCTTTCCCCTGCTACCTGATGCAAAAACAAATCAGTTGCTACATCCTTGTTTTCCAAGTCAAGCTTCCTTAACGTTTAGTGATCTGGGAGAAATATTTCATACGTCATGGCATACTTATTGCAACTCTCTAAATGAAAACATTTTCTTTTCTGCACTCAGTATTGCAAAAATGTGTTTTTCATTTTGCCAGCCCATATCCGATTACCTTGGTTGGCCATTTTGTTCCTGAAAAAAGTACCTTAAAGGGTGTGTGTGTGTGTGTGTGTGTGTAGAGGAAGCAGCACTAAGAGCGCAGTTCTTACTTGAAAGAAAGGAATGAACCTTGCTTACCAGTCTTAGGGTCAGGTAATAAAACCTATCTAAAGGGAATCACATAATAGTTTGGAAAGGTGTTGTGAACGGACGTTTTGCTTACCTTAAGCTTTGCAAAGAACTGTCAACAGACTACTTCTTGCACCGCTCCATTTTTTCACAACACCTGACAACCGCTTTGGGCATCTGCTGAAGCAATTTGCAAAAGCTTCCGCCAGGCTTTTGGGTGTTTGTTGAGACTTAACCTGGTTAACCCTCTGGAATTTGTGGACCTCCTCCCCACATACTTTCACGTTTTGCAGCAGGGCTTGCAGGAACACACCTGTACTTAAGCAAGAAGAGGCCCGCCTTCTGAAAGACACGTTTGCTCACCTCGTTGTGCTCCAAGCAGCCAATCATGAGCTCCGTCAAAATGACGACCCCCGTCCTCCCCACGCCGGCGCTGCAGTGAACTACAATTGGGGGGTTGCAGTTGTTGCTGCTGTCCAGGACACTGTTGGTGTGGCGTCGCACAGATTGGATCTCTTCCAAGTAGGCTGCGTGGCAGGAATAAAACGGAAATCGCATTCCTGAAATGCTACCCAGCTTCACATGGAGGAGCAAGCTTCCTTTTAAATTATGATAATTTACCATTCTTAGAAGACACTAATTATTTGGCCTCTGGACAGCAAACAGCACTGAGTTAAGCAAGAAGCAGCAGGGTGTCAATTACTACTTGGGACTTCGGTCCTTTAAATTAAACAGCTCTTTTTTTAAAAAGAAAAAATAACACACACACTCTTTCCCCCTCTGCAAATCCCCAAGTCCCTTAAGCAGATGACTGTAGACATTACTTACAGCAGTTCCTGCTATTAACAGGCTGGGATCAGAACAGCAGCAAGGTCCCCTTGAAACAAATGCCTGTCAGAGCCAGTATCTAATGGGCAGGGAGCATCCATCTGGCCCTCTCCTTACCTTGCAGAATGTCTCTGAATTTCAAACATGCCTGCTGACTCTCTCTCTCCCAAGCAGGCCTGTTTCATGCACAAAGCCCCGTGTAGGGTAACAAAGAAGGAAAGAAAACAGTTGCCTTGCGTGGTAACAGATAGTCCTCTTAACGCGGGTTATATGTCACTGAAAGTCACCCCCAAAAAACCCCCTCCTTAGTTAAGTAGACATAGGAAAGGTGTGTGGTGGGCACACCAGCTTCATGGCTAATACTGTCACCCTCCACAAGTGGCAGCCTGAAGATGGAATCTGCATTACAAGAGGCTCCCTGCTGCAGTCATCCTTCAATTTGTGGAAGCCAACCAGGGTGTGAGTGTGTGTGACAGAGCTAGCATGCTCAGCCCCATTAATCCCACCACTAACTCACATGCTTACTAAACACAGACGTATTTAGGAGTGAAGAGGGCTACTGTCTTTAACCAAACCTAAAGGCTCTGTGGTCTACATGAACCCAACCTTTAAAGAAGAGACATGTTGCGTTGGGCCATAGGCTTCCAAGGTTCATCAGCTAAGAGCAGGGCCTCTATAGTGGTGGCACCCGCCCCTTGGAACGCACTCCCAACGAACATCAGGCGGGTACCTACAGTATTAGCATTCATGGGCCTGCTCATTTATCTGTCACCCATGTTTTTCCTGATGGGGGCTCTGCCTATGTTTATGTATTAATATGATCTACTCATTTGTGATGCATTGTGTGCTTGTTTCACGAACGTAATTTTGCTGTCGTTTTCATGCTGTTCATCGTCACTATCGTTTCCCCCCAAATTCTGATGATTTTCAAAGTTTGCAAATAAATGCAGGGGTGCCATCAGAGTCTTTGTTGTAACGACATAAGGAAAAGACATTTGTGCAACCATCACACATTTTTAATTTTATTTTAGGGATTTAGGCAAAGTCTGAGTGCTGGCACAATCTAGTTTCTTTTCTTCTTAAAATGAGCAACAGCTCTTGGGCATGATGATTCCCATCTATGTTAGCTGGTAATCCTGGAGATGCCAGGGAATCAATCTGGGGTCTTCTGCATGCAAAGCACATCCTCTTCAACTGAGCAATGGCCTCCTCCTCTGCTCAATAAACACTTTACTCACAAGGCCACCTTAAGCATGGGGCAATGGGCCATCATTTCAATCCCCATTCCATGGAGTGATCTGCAAGCAGCTTCTGCTGCCATAAACTCCAGGAATTTCACACAGCCTCTAGGCTGGCACATGGGGATATGCAACCCCCAGATTAGACTCAGCCGACTCCAGCTGCTGATCCCTAGCATTCATGCTTTTCTCCTGCCCTAGTAGTGTCAAGGGAAACAAGGCAAAACCCTGGCAAAGTGGAACTCCTACACAAGGCCTAGACACAATTCCACAACAAAGCTATTGACACAGTCGAGAAAATATTTCCCTCCCTTTTTGTTATTAATAGTTTTTCACATCTTCTTTTTAACATACAGCTCCACTTTCGGTCCCTCTCCCCAGCCTGCACACATCCAAATATTATAATAACCAGGCAGAGGGCCTTCTCAGTAGTGGCGCCCGCCCTGTGGAACGCCCTCCCATCAGATGTTGAGGAAATAAACAACTATCTGACTTTCAGAAGACATCTGAAGACAGCCCTGCTTAGGGAAGTTTTTAATGTTTGATATTTTATCATATTATTATTATTATTATTCTGTTGGAAGCCACTCAGAGTGGGTGGGATATAAATAAATTATTATATTATTAATCTTCCCTACAACTAAAGCTCAACAAATAAATGTCAGTATCATTATATGGCATATATATAAATATATATATATATATATATATGCAGGTTTTGGTGTCCTCGGGTGTCTTCCCGTGTAAAAGTTGGGGTGTCTAGGCGACGTTTCGACGAGGTCTCACTCGTCATCTTCAGGCTGGTGCTTTCGGCTTCTTGTTACTGGAACAGAGCAGGATCTCAGTGTTTGAGTTCCTATAAATACTGTTGAGGGGGTGTGGTGTATAGCCTCCAATGTTCTGGGCAGAGAGGAAGTTCCCAGGCTAGTGTGCCTATTCTTCTTTTGTTCCTTAATTACTTGAGGGATATCTTGAGTGATTTCTTGAGTGATATTCTGAGTACCACTTAGGTGGGTCATTAGGTGTGGATTAGTTGCTCAAGCCTTCGTGTCTTGACCTCTTGAACTTTGTGAAAAGTTTTTCTGAGAAGATGGCTGTACTGCACTTAGTTGTGCTCTGGCTTGGCTTCGGGTATAGGGGCGAGCTGTGGTTTTGTGCCCTGTGCCAGCCAGATCTGTGTAGGGATTGCAGGGGGGTGCAGCATCCGGAGGTGCCACCATGGTTTGGCTACTGGATGGTGTCTGTAATTTATCTGTGGAGAGGGTCTGGGTTTGGGTCTGGTGTGGTTGATTGGTGATGGCGTTCTGTGTGCCTCTGGATCTGGTGTCGGTTTTTGTGGGGAGGGCTAATTTCCAGATGTCTGGCAGGCGGGACGTGTCGTCACGCTTGTTCATGTTGTGAGGGTGTTTCTCTATCTCGATGGCTTCCATGATTATTCTCTTGTGGTGATGTTCCATGTTAAAGAGCAATTTGGAATCTGCAAAATTAATTTCGTGTCCTGTTTCTTTCATGTGTTGGAAAAGAGAGGAAGTTTTTTCTTCTTTTTTGACGGCATTCTTGTGTTCTGCGATACGTGCATTTATTCGTCTGTTTGTTTGTCCAATGTACGTGGCTGGGCAGGCTTTGCAGGGTATTTCATAGACCCCTTGGTTTTCCAACTGGATTTTATCTTTGGGGTTTCTGAGGATATTGGCTATTTTTTGGTTGGTGCAAAAGGCTGTTTTGATATTGTGTTTATGGAGGATTTTGCTAATTTTATCTGTAGTGCCCTTGATATAAGGAAGGAGGGCCATGCCATTGTTTTCTTCTGTGTCTTGGTTTTTGGGGGGTGTTTCTTTTTGGATTAGCTTCGTAACCCTGTTTTGCTGGTATCCATTGGCGATTAACACATTTGAGAGATTCTGTAACTCAGTTGTCAAGTGGTCTTTGTCAGCCAGGCGTTTGGTTCTGGAGATGAGAGTCTTGGCTACGGAGTTTATTTGTGCAGGGTGGTGGTGTGATTGTGCATGTAAGTAGCGGTTGGTGTGTGTTTTTTTCCGGTAGATAGTGTGTCCTAGGGAGCCATCAGGTTTTTTGTAGATTAGGACGTCAAGGAAGGGAAGTTGGTTGTTGGCTTCTATTTCCATAGTGAATTGTATTTTGGGGTGTAGGCTGTTGAGATGTGTGAGGAAGCTATCTAGTTTTTCCTTCCCGTGTGGCCAAATTACAAAGGTGTCGTCAACATATCTGAGCCAAAGTTTGGGTTTGTGTTCTGACTTGTCTAAAGCATTGGTTTCAAAGTGTTCCATGTACAGATTTGCGATGACCGGTGAGAGGGGTGATCCCATAGGTGCTCCTTCTATCTGTTTGTATCTTTGTCCATTGTGGATGAAGTACGTGTTGGTTAGGCAGTGGTTGGTCAGGTCCAGGATGTATTCTGGGGGATTGTATTTGTTTTGAATGGCTGTCAAGGCTTCATTAATGGGCACTTGTGTGAAGAGAGATACAACATCGAAGCTCACAAGTAGGTCATCGGGATGTAGGTTTTGCTTCTTTATTGTTTCTATGAACTGGAAGGAGTTTGTAACGTGTGAAGAGATGGATTCTGCATAGGGCTGAAGTTGCTTAGCGAGAAATTTAGCGAGATTTTGTAGAGGTGAGCCTATGGAGCTGACTATTGGTCTGAGTGGTGTTCCTTCTTTGTGTATCTTGGGGAGGCCGTAGAGTTTGGGGCATCTGGATGATTTTTCTCTGGGGATGATTCTTAGCTGGATTTCTTCACTGATAGGAGAGGCTTTTATTTTGGATTTGGTGGTTTTTTCCAGATAGGTGGTGGGATATATATATATATGCTTTCGTAGATTTTCACGGGTACAGGAATGCAGGTTTTGGTGTCCTCGGGTGTCTTCCCGTGTAAAAGTTGGGGTGTCTAGGCGACGTTTCGACGAGGTCTCACTCGTCATCTTCAGGCTGGTGCTTTCGGCTTCTTGTTACTGGAACAGAGCAGGATCTCAGTGTTTGAGTTCCTATAAATACTGTTGAGGGGGTGTGGTGTATAGCCTCCAATGTTCTGGGCAGAGAGGAAGTTCCCAGGCTAGTGTGCCTTTTCTTCTTTTGTTCCTTAATTACTTGAGGGGTATCTTGAGTGATTTCTTGAGTGATATTCTGAGTACCACTTAGGTGGGTCATTAGGTGTGGATTAGTTGCTCAAGCCTTCGTGTCTTGACCTCTTGAACTTTGTGAAAAGTTTTTCTGAGAAGATGGCTGTACTGCACTTAGTTGTGCTCTGGCTTGGCTTCGGGTATAGGGGCGAGCTGTGGTTTTGTGCCCTGTGCCAGCCAGATCTGTGTAGGGATTGCAGGGGGGTGCAGCATCCGGAGGTGCCACCATGGTTTGGCTACTGGATGGTGTCTGTAATTTATCTGTGGAGAGGGTCTGGGTTTGGGTCTGGTGTGGTTGATTGGTGATGGCGTTCTGTGTGCCTCTGGATCTGGTGTCGGTTTTTGTGGGGAGGGCTAATTTCCAGATGTCTGGCAGGCGGGACGTGTCGTCACGCTTGTTCATGTTGTGAGGGTGTTTCTCTATCTCGATGGCTTCCATGATTATTCTCTTGTGGTGATGTTCCATGTTAAAGAGCAATTTGGAATCTGCAAAATTAATTTCGTGTCCTGTTTCTTTCATGTGTTGGAAAAGAGAGGAAGTTTTTTCTTCTTTTTTGACGGCATTCTTGTGTTCTGCGATACGTGCATTTATTCGTCTGTTTGTTTGTCCAATGTACGTGGCTGGGCATATATACATATACATATATACACACACACACACACACACACACCATATATATGTATATATATGTGTGCACATATGTGTGTGTGCATCAGCAAATAGTTCTAAGGACCCACTCCAATATTTAATTCAACTTCACTGATGTCCTCACTCAAAACAAAAAGAAAGCACCCACATTTCAAACACACACACACACACACACACACACAACTTACAGAGAAAGCCTTGTTCTTCTGGGCAACCGTGATCCGGCCAGTCGGTGTACTGCAAATGCCACACCGTTTTCTCCTGCCCTAGCAGAAGGTGCTTGACCTTGAGACCCGTCGTGGCATAGCAACCCGAATCGGTGCGGAATTTGGTGGTCACCTTGAACTTCCCGTAAGTGGCTGAGCTGTGCTTGGAGCCGAGTTTCGGCCAGTAGCGATGGCTCTTGGCTCTTCCTCTTTCCTGTCCCACAGCAAAAGGAAGGAGAAGCAAAAAATCAGCACGGTCCTGTTCTTACAGCCACAAACCACAGTGAACAATGGGTATGCCTAAAAATCAAGTACAGTGCCAGTGTGGTTTAAAGCAAGGGTGGGGAAACTTCAGGAACGCAGGCTAGTTGTGGCCCGCCAGGCCCCAAAACTCTACCTAGGCCTCACCCATCTCTAGCCTTTCATCACCCCCCCAGGTGTTTTGCCTGGCTGGAATGTGTCCTTGAAAGTTTTGGCTCAGCAGTCTCCAGTTGCTGATCCCTAGCATAAATGCTTTTCTCCTACCCCAGAAGCTGCTGTAGGGTCAAGGGAAACTGGGCAAAACCCTGGCAAAGTGTAACTTCTACGCAAACTGACCCCTTCTCCCTCAAGGCGCCATGATAAAGCTGGCGCCACCAACCAGTGAAGACTTCACAGCTACAGAACAAGTGAAGTCAAGCACATTATTGCATACCCTTAGGCACACCTGTATGGACTGTACATGCCGCAAGCAAAATCTGAAGACCCATGTAAAGGAATTAAGAGAATGGCTCGAAATAATTGTTCACAGTCCCAAAATGTGTGTTGAGACTAATAACGGCACAACAACATGCAGCCTCAAACGATGCTGTGTGCTCCAGACAAAGCATTTCTAGTGTGTGTTTACAGCACTGCACAGAAAATATCACAGATGCGCTTCGTTGTGGGGGATAACAACAAACCCAAAGTTCAAGCAACCACCTCAGGGCATCATGTTATAGTTTCCCAGAAAATAGCCGAGTGAGGACATCAGAGGAAAATGGGGAGCAGGCAAGGGACTGATCCTATTTGACTGTTTCCCCATGAACATCTCCCTTGCCTCCGTGCATCCTGGGGTTCCAGGAGTGCCCTCTTATCACGGAGTGTGCATTCATACTGCCATTACCGTCTGCAAATTTCCACCGTCTCAGGACAGTGGAGATTCCTCGTTGTTTCCAAGCTTCATAAAAGCCATCATATGAATGCATGCATATAATCAGAGTTCAGGTCATAAGACAACCCCGTTGCCTGCCGCCGCTTAGAAAGAGGCTTTCTCTGTGGTCAGATTACTCTGTAACTATGCATTTAATGGACTCTTGCTCCCCCTTCTGAACAGCTGATAGTGCTAAATGTTTAAAATGGGGGAAATCGGGCCACACTATTTAAACAGAACAGCTGTTCCTGTGTGCCTGTAAAGGCAGCAGAGTTCTGAACAGGATGCAGGGCTGGTTACTTGTGTGTGCCAGGTTTATAGCACAACATACAGTTGTGGGATTACAACAGAAATAACTGTTTTGCTTGGCATGGGAATAAAGGCGACTTTCTCTCTCTCTTTTTACTGGATGCTTTAACTGGAACAACAACTTCTGGTGTATTCGCAGCTGATAAGGATGCTAGTAATGCAGAGGTGGCCTTGGATGGGCTGAGAATATCATTCTTCTCAAATAAGGGCAGCTTTGTGTTCTCAGAATCCACTGCTTTGTTTGGCATGCAGCAATCTTCTAATGGAGCTAAACTTCCATCATTACACTGTGCGGCCAGCTAGACTGATACAAACAAGGTTGTAAGGGGTTGAGTCATCCCAGGGAAAGGTTCAAAGGAAGTTTGAAAAACAAAACAGCAAACAGGAGAGCAAAAGGACTGGCAGAGAGAAGCAGATTGTCATGGAGAGCACTTCCTAAATCTTCAAAACATGCACGCAACTATTTGAACCTCCCCTAGCGTACACAAGATAAAACACGGTCCAATCTCAAGAGTGGCTCTCACTCTTATCCTCTAGCACAGGACAAGCTGATCAAAGGGTAGAGAGCAAGTCCACAGAGGCCCAAGGAATGCATGCTCTCAGGTCTGAACTAGGACTGGGTGGGGAAGAGAAAATGCAAGCAAACAAAACATCTCTGAATGTACTGCCTATATCTGCAGTGTTGGTCGACTTGAGGTCGGTGGCAGGCCCACTTGGATGAATGCCATTCCAAGAGGTTTTCTGAGGGGACAGCACCAGGACTTTGTGGCCGTGATGGTGCAGTGAGCAACTCCCCACCCCCCAGTGGTGGACTTTGGGGCCTCAAATTTCAGTGGCACCCTGTGCAACGTCAAATTCTCCCCCAACTTCCAATCTACACCACACTTGTGGTGCCCCTGCAGCACCCCAAGGCTTCACTCCCAGTGCCACCAAACCGGTCATGCTCCCCTAAATCCACCTCTGCCCCTCTTCTCCCCCACTTCCATGCCCGAAGATGGGCCACCAAATTGTGCTGTTCCATCCAAGTATCAGATGCTAGTAACTAAAATGGGGAATGTGTATCACCATCATATTGTGAACCTCACCACACCTTCTGATTGGACACATTTTATAAAAGATATAACGCTGGGACAGACGGAAATCTGCCTTTGTCCACATTCATGCCATATATGTAAACTGCTACGACAGCAACAGTCATAGCTTCCCCCAAGTTTGTTAAGGCTGCTGAGAGTTGTTAGAGGGCCCCTATACACCTTACAGGGGACGCGGGTGGCGCTGTGGGTAAAACCTCAGCGCCTAGGACTTGCGATTGCATGGTCGGCGGTTCGAATCCCACGGCGGGGTGCCGCTCCCGTCGTTCGGTCCCAGCGCTGCAACCTAGCAGTTGAAAGTACCCCCGGGTGCAAGTAGATAAATAGGGACCGCTTACAGCGGGAGGTAAACGGCGTTTCCGTGTGCTGCGCTGGCTCGCCAGAGCCAGCGATGTCACGCTGGCCACGTGACCCGCAAGTGTCTCCGGACAGCACTGGCTCCCGGCCTATAGAGTGAGATGAGCGCACAACCCTAGAGTCTGGCAAGACTGGCCCATACGGGCAGGGGTACCTTTACCTTTACTATACACCTTACAGAGGTACAATTTGCAGAGTTCCCTGTGAAGAGGACTCTGGAGATTTGTTAGCATGCAACCACATATTACATACCTCCTCCGCTGTCACCATGGCTATCACATTCACCCCTTCTTCCCACACCATTTGCCAGAAATCATGGCATGTTTGTGGCAAAGGTCCTTGTGTGGCTATGTAGTGCCATTCTTCTCCGCCCACTGTAACCTGAGGTAGAGAGAGAGAAAGAAAGAACAATAGATTACTATAAAATTCATGCCACAGTTGAGCATCTTCACCTCTCTCTCTCTGCATAGCAACTGTGCATAGTTAGAGAAGGGCCTTAGCTCACTGGTAGAGCTTCTGCTTTGCACGCATGAAGTCCAAGGTTCAATCCTTGAATCCCTGACATCCTCAGGTTGGGCTGGTTCAAGACCCTGGAAAATAGCTGCCAGGACACTGGTAAACTTTACTGATGGACCAACGGTCTGACTCAGTACCAGACACCTTCCTATGCTCTTCGTCATGAGCTCATAAAGGTCCGTGCTTAACAGCCAGCTTAACCCACTCATCTATCCTTGCTGCTGTTACAGCAACATGGAATTTTCTTACATGCACAAAACATGACCCTCTATTTATATTTTGGCTTTAGGACCTGGTTGGCTTAGCTTCAGAAGGCAATGTTGGAAACAAGGAAGCAACAGAAAATGGCCAGGGCTATGGAGGAAAAACAACAGTCAATGCAGCGTTCAGAATCCCTTTCCATCCCTCCTTTTTCCAGATGAAATACCCACAAAACACCCATTCTACAAATTTGCAGGGTGGCGGGGTAGAGGGGAGGAACCTGAATCAGAAGAAGCAGGTCTGCCTCTGGCACATGACGACGACGACAATGATGATAACAACAACAACAATTTATATGCCGCTCACCCAACTGAGTTGCCCCAGACACTCTGGAAGGCTTCCAACAAATTGAAACATTAAACACAGTAAAACATCCCACATTAACAACTTCCCTATACAGGGCTGTCTTCTAAAAGTCAGATAGTTGTTTATTGCCTTGACATCTGATGGGAGGGAGTTCCACAGGGTGGGCAACGAGAGAGCTGCCAGAAGGTCATTGGAACTGGACCTTAGTGTCTGGGATGAATGATGGGGGTAGAAACGCTCCTTCAGGTATACAGGGCCAAAGCCTTTTAGCGCCACCCCAAGATTCAAGGCCTACATAAACATGCTCCTAAGGTGAGCACATCATTATATGGTGTTTGTGTGTGAGAGAGATAGACATGCTTGTTTCATCTGAGGTGAGAAACACCAAAGGCTGTTGAAAAACTAGTTAAGAATGATCCCAACAATTTCAGTGAGATTCAGAATCTGGACATAGGAACGTAAGTAGAGCCTTCCTTGACCAGGCCAAAGGCCCGTCTAGTCTAACATCCTGTTCTCATTGTGGACAACCAGATGCCTATGGGAAGCCCACATGCAGGAATTGAGTTCAATGACACTTTCTCCACTTGCAATTTCCAGCAACTGGTATCCAGAAATATAGCGTGTCTATATTCCAGCAGCTCAAAAGTAAAGAGAAAGTTGTTTGCTGATGTGGAGATATGAGCGCACCCACTGAAAACAGATTTCTTCTTTTTTTAGCATACACAGACTGAAGGCATGTTCATCTTGACAGCCAGGATCAAAGCAAAAAGGGAAAGGCAGACAACCCTACGGAAGATTGCAAGCTTGGGTCTAGCAGCGTAGGAGTCTGGGGCAAGATCTTATCGTAATGTTACGGGAGTTTTGCTCTGCCTGCTCCGCCGTGGTCCAACCGCCCAGCCTGCTGGCACAAGGCATGGACAAAAAAACCCATAAATAGTTCCAGAGGGAGTGCACAGCCTGGAACGCGGCATCACTCTGCGGATATTAAAAATTGATAACTGGGTGAAAAACACTCGCTGCGTGGCAGAGGTAAAAATCTGCAGATGCAATTTCACCTTCTGAGCAAAAGAACATCTGCTTGGCTTCTGCAACAGCCCCTTGGAAGAGGGGGAGGGGGGAGTGCTGGCAGCACACAGGGTTGTATACTACTAAGCATCAGCACATGTCGCTACATGCGCTACAGAACAATGTGGGTACGTCCGAGGCTGACACACAAGATGAAATATGAACTCTTAAAGCTGGCTGGGGAGAATTCTTTCTGGGCCCCTGCCACCTGATGGAGCAAAATTATGCTCTCAGAAATGATTTGTCCTCCCCCCCACCTCAAATGGATGGGGGGCGGGAATTCAGATTCCGTAATCAGTCATCCAAGCTGAGGTAGGTTGTGCCAAAAACACACAGTATCTGCTACCCACCAGATCTTTTGGCAGAAATCTGACATGGTTCTGGTTTTAGAGAGGTGTTTTGACTCAACAAGGGCTTAGCGTTGTAAATTTATGACCAAACCAAGCTTGGAACTTGGTACGGATGTCTTGCAGCCAAGATATGCTCATAATTTAATACTGTTTTGACCAAAGCAGAAAATGTTCATAAAAGCAGATCCGTTTCAAGTTTTGTCAAATCACCCTTGACCATTCGGCCTGCTGGCCGAGGCTGGTGAGAGTTAAGAGTCCCAACAGCATCTGCAGGGCCACAGATTCCTCACTCCTAATGCAAAGAGCAAAGAGGTTTGCTTCCAGAGCCACTCTCCTATAGGCCGTACAATTAAAGTGTATTTAAAGCACATTTCCGTCTCCCCTAAGAATTCTAGGAAGTGGAGTTTATCCCTCTCAGTGCTACAACTCACAGCAAATTAACCAACTGTAGTTCTCAGGTTTCTTTGATAAATGTACGGTGTGTACGGTAAAAGTAAAGGAAGCGGGTGGCACTGTGGTCTAAACCACTGAGTCTCTTGGGCTTGCCGATCAGAAGGTTGGCGGTTCGAATCCGTGTGATGGGGTGGGCTCCCGTTGCTCTGTCCCAGCTTCTGCCAACCTAGCAGTTTGAAAGCATACCACTGAAAGTAGATGGTGTGTACACAGGCACAGTGGTTAAGAGTCCTGGATGTGGACAGGAGAGACCCAGATGCAAATCCCCACGCAGCCATCAAGCTTACTGTATAACCCTGGGCCAGACACTCCCTCTCTACGTAACCTACCTTGCAGGGTAATTAGGATAAAACAGAAGGGAGAAGGGTCACGAATGCCACCCAAATTTACCTTCCTTTCACAGATTGTTCAGCTTTTCCAAATTCAGGGTACAGAATGTAGGGACGGCATAGGGCCAGGGTCTGAGAAGCAGCAGAGTTCAAAGCAAGTTTCAGCCAATGGACTGAGGATAGCACAGATTTTCCTTTGCAGACAGCACCTAGGCTAGAACCCAGGGTGCCTTACTGGGCTCAAGGCAAAAGTCTTTACAGAACCTGCAGCACTCGCACAGCTTTCCTGCCTGTTTTTAACTTTTGTTCCAAGCCACTCAGAGTAGCAGGAATGAATAACTAATAATACCTGCACTGGTGGAATCTGGGCAACACGCAAATCTATTTGTACCAGGCATCTTTGTGCGTGCTCTGAGTGAATTGTGAAAACCACAATCCACACTGAGGTGTTTTTCCCCCCCTACCAGACTCACAAAGTGTCCTCAAGGAAGCCTGCTGTCTTCGCTTACAAAAGAGGGACATAACAATGTGATCCTACTTATGTTTGCTCAGGGCCACTGGGAGGCTGCCATTCAGAAGAACATCATGGCAAGCTGGAGATCAACCTGGCCCTATTCCCTCGTCACGGAGGGAGAAGCTGCACTTGGCTTCAGCTGACAGTTGCCCCAGGACTGCACAGCTGAAGGGCAGCACACCCTCGCCCCTGGCTTTGACCTTGGGACTGAAGGATCCTGGATCCAGAAAGAACAGTATGGCAATGGGAGACTAACGTGGCCGCATTCATCAGCCAAAGAACAGAGCTTGCTTCCCCCTACCTTCCCTGCCAGAAATAACACTGGTGAACTGGTGCTCCGAGTTTGCTTTTTTCCTCCTCCCTCCCAAGTCCCTTTTCCCTTTGTGCTGTTGCCTCTATATTGTAAACCTGAGGGAAGGGACTGCCTTATTAATGATTGCTTTCAGTTGCTTTGTGTGGCTGAAGAGAAGGGTAAAAAGAAAAGAAAAAAGGAAAAAAAGCCTTGTGTCAGCCCAAGCTGAGTCACGGAATAAGGTTATTGTGAGGACGAAGAAAGGTTAAGGCGGGGGAGGCACTATTCATGTTAAAAAAAATGTTTAACAAATTATAATTATTACAATCCCGTGACGACAGGCATGGATTGTATATAGGTTAATTGAGGCTGAGAAGAGTGTCTGGGGACTGGCCAGCACGGTAAGTTCACATCCCAGCACAGTTCACATCTGAACTCTGGCCTCCCAAGTTCAAGCCCAGCCTTCCTACCCACAAAGGCAGTTTCTTTCCGTCCCCCCAGTCTTTACCTTTATGTGTGAGGCGTTGATGTAGCCCGTGTTGTTTTCTTTGGTTGGGACGAGCTCCACGCGGTTCTCCTCATACGGAATAACTTCTCGGACACGGTTACGCTCGGAGTTCTCCGGAAGCGTCGCTGTGGTAAAGACCCCGTCTGCCTTCCTCTTTGGAATCTGCTCATATTCAGTGAACACCATCCCCTCTTCTAGTTTCCTCCTCAGGATTTTGCACTATTTTCAATTTAAAACAAAACAAAACAAAAACACAAAAGAGGGCATTCTATTCAAAAGTGATTCCTCATATAAAATACAGTCAAACCTCGGGTTACAGATGCTTCAGGTTGCGCACTGTGCCAAACCCGGAAGTACCAGAACGGGTTACTTCTGGGTTTCGGCGCTTGCGCATGTGCAGAAGCACTAAATCATGCTTTGCGCATGCGCAGAAGCGCTGAATCGCAACCCGAGTGTGCTCAGACGCGGCGCTGCGGGTTGCGAACGCTGCGGGTTGAGAACATGCCTCCCGCACAGATCACGTTCGCAACCCAAGCGTCCACTGTACTGCAGTTGCTTGCCTTTCAATGATGAGATAAATCATCCAAGGAGCCCCCCCCCCCAAATAATGCTAAGGGTCATCTATTTCCTCCATCTTGCCTGCATTAAACTCTCTACCAGAGTTACGTTCTCTACAGGGTGGGGTGGGGAGGTATTTTACAGATGACATCATAATCCAAAACTCCTGATAATCTATCCCACCTGTTTCACATAGAAGACAGTTGGGAAGAAGTAGACACTTGAGGCCAAAGGACCATTCAAAGAATGAAGAGGTGAAATCAATAATCACCCCATCCCCAATTACTTTCTCTGACTGTAACATGGGGGAGGAGTGGAACCATTTAAAAAACCCTTTCATTTCCCTGGGGATGGAAAAAAAAATTGCATGGTCCACCAGATCAAAATATGGTGAGAGGTCTAGGAAGGCCAGCAGGGCCTAACTGGCTGTGTTGATCTTTAGATGGAAATAGTCTGCAAAGGCTAGAGTCTCAGTCTTACAATGTAAGGACCTTTGGTCATGGAAACAGCCTCGATGAACACCACTATACATTTCAAGCACGTCCGATATCAGCGTGATCACACACAAATGTGCCACACCTGGAAGTGACTCAAAAATGTCACAGAAAAGAGGGGAACAGGGCGGAGCAGGGTGTTTTCAGGTTTTTCCAATTGTGTTTCAAATATAAGCAATTTCACTTGAACACGCAGTGCCTTGGAACGTAACCCCTGCATAAATTGGGAGTTGCCTGTTTAAATTTCAAGGGAAATGATAGCGCTGAGTGAAAGTCTGTGAAACCATGGTGCACATTTGCACGCATGGGTGCATCCATACTGTGTAAGTGAGAAAACAAGACCACTAACCCACTAACAAGCACTGTGGGTGTGGTGATAACAGCTGCCTAAGTCAGTCTGCATTTGTTTTACTTTTATCCTACAGAAACATGCTTATGGAACAACAAATGTCTACAGGTGTGTACATTTCGTTTATTCCAATACCCTTCGGTGCTTATGGAGACTATTGTGGGCAAAATACTCTTCTGTTGTGAGGCAGAGGTTTTGTACAAGGGCTCATGGCTGAGGTAAGATTTGCATGAGCCAGATCTGGCCCCAATTACATGCATCCTCATGTTACACCAGCAGTCTTATGCACAGTCGTGATTTCTGCAGCCGTGTGCTAACCGGGGCATTGCAATACATCACCTGGTTTTTAATACTTCAGAAGCCGTTGCCGACAGAAACCAAAATGGCGGCCCTTTGTTTTGCTAGTCCTATTCTTACCCGCTCATCCATTGGCACCTTGACTGCTTCATCCTGGCTGTCCTCAGGCACTGGAACTCGAGCGACTGAGAGACCGTTGAGCGCTGCCAACATCAAGGGCCTCTTCTGGGCCTCCAGGCCTGCCATCTTCTGTTTCTCTAGATACTTTTGGCAAGAAAAGGCATGCTTTCATCTCGGGGTGATTAGAAATAATGCCAGCAGAATGTTGGAATGCCTTTTTAATCTCCCACAAAATCTACAACTCCGGCCGAGGAGTGCAGATGACGGCCATTAGCAGAGCAAATCCAAATGCGTCTCCTAAAGTTCCTATTATTTCCCCGGGGGGCCTGTTCCTACATGAGTGCAGAGCTTTAATTTCAAAGGAACAGTCCCATGATACAGGGGACCTGCTATCAAAAACAGGCGTCTCTCTCTCTCTCTCCCTCCCGCCCCCCTTGCGTGCTGTGTGTGTGTGTGTGCGTGTGTGTGTGTGTAAATGTTAGGCACAGAGTGAGCCGCATCAAGCAAGCCAAACAAACCACAAAGATGATACATAAGCCCAGACTGGTGGCGGATTTTTAAACAGCATTGTTACATTGAAATTAGTACAATGGGCTCCGTTGAGCGTAAAGTGAATAAATACGGATCCAACGCCCACCCCACCTCCAATTCAAGAAAAGGCCAATTGGAAATGCTCCGTTGCCACCAGGTAGAGGAGTTGTGGAAGGGAGCAAAATTGTGACATGTAAAACGAGAACGTTTCAAAGCTCTAAAATGAGTTAAATTATTCTTTTGTGTGTGTGTTTTCCCCTGCCTCTAAATTTACTTCCAAATGTGGGTTCAACATTCAGAAGCACCATCAATTCTCCTAAAACTATGGGCAAACAAAGCACTTTCTCGACCTATATTTTAATTGCTGTGTTTTAAACAGGACTGTTTTACTGCATATTTTAATTATGGTTTTTTTGTAATAAAAAAAACCAACACGCTTGTGCAATTGGTTTTTATACTTGTAAACCACTTAGAAGCTGGTTCCAGCATTTAGCAGCTTATTGATTTATTATTCTTAAGAAAAATAACAAATTGTTAATTTTCACTGCCTTCCCTCTGAATGGACTCCTCTGTGACCTTTTGAATGGCAAGGGTCACTGCCAATTGGGGAGCACCCAGTGGTGGCTCCACCCATAGTGTGTCCTCTGCCAATCACAGCCCCTTAGATGGTTGATATTGGGGGAAGGCGCTCTTCTCGGCTCTGCAATCGCTCAGTGGGGCTAAGGAATAGCTGCAAGCCAAATCCAGGTGTTTCCAGGAAAGCTGCTCTTACGGCACTCCCCAAGCCTTATCGCCTCATCATCCTCTGTAGTTGGCAGGAGCATATAACTTGGGTGTTTCCAGAACTGTAAGAGGCAATGCATTTCTGTCTAGTTGCTTCTGGCTGACCTGGAAACTGCATAAACTAAGGAATTATGCTCTTGGGAGTGGCTGTGGAAGAAAACCTTGCCCTAAAATGAATTAATATTCTTCAGTGTGGGTAGCTTTTGATGGTGAGGGGGAAGAGAGAGAGATTGGAAGTGAGATAATGACTTCAGCTATTTTGTATTTTTGTCTGTACTTGATGAAAGAGTCCAGCTCTCCCTTCTGCTCCAGCCTCTCATTCAGGACAATGGAGTGTGTTAGGTTGAAATAAAGAGGAATTAAAAAGTTCTTCAGGGTGGTTGAATCTTTGTTTGCAAAGCCTCCTTACAAAATTACTTGTTCTGCCTTTAACTGTATTTGACAGAGGCTGAGTTCAGCTGTAAGCTGAGCCCATGGTTTGTTTTAATAGCTAGTTTTATACTTCTTTCAATGAACCATCATTTAAACTAACTATAGTTTGTCCTTTTTTGATACAATGGTAAGTTCTGGTCAGTGAAAAACTGTAAAGGTGCTTCTATTTCCTCCTTGCAGTTGTGTATAGAGAAGAGAGGAGAGGAATCATAGAATCATAGAATCATAGAGTTGGAAGAGACCACAAGGGCCATCGAGTCCAACCCCCTGCCAAGCAGGAAACATGCAAGCCCAAGGTCCACGTCTGCTCATTCACATAATACTGAACTATGGTTTAGCATCACTCCAGAAACAGGACCAGTGGCTTGGAGCCGACAAACCTGGATCAAGAACCACAGCTGGTTTGCAAACAAATAATTTGTGCTAATTCTGGTTTGCTGTTGAATTCACAGACTACTGACAAACCACAGCTAGGACCTCAAGAGGTTTCTGCACCATGGAGCTGGGAGTTAACTGATGAAACTGAGTTCTGGGTGGGTGGGAAATGAAAAGCATGCAAGCTCCATGGTGAAAAGCAACCAAGCAGCTCCAAACCATGGTTGCCTATTGTATATTTGGAACCTCAAACTATGGTGTAGCTTAATTATGGCTGGCACAGTGCCTGAATCTGAGTCATTACATGTGAAGCTCTTATACCTTAGAGGCAGGATTAGGAGCTCTGAACCCAGCATGGCAGAACAACAAGAAAAAGGTATGCAACAGAGCACTTTGAGAATCTCAGCACCATTCTTTAAATTAAGTTTCTAGCCAGTATGATTACAATCTCAACTTTTACGAAAGCTACATTCTTGATCTGACTTCTTGAAAGCCAACACGATTAAAGAACGGCGTTGACTTTACCTCTCCTTTTAAGACTGTCTAGCTCAGTGTTTCCCAAACTTGGGTCCCCAGCTGTTTTTGGACTACAATTCCCATCATCCCTGACCACTGGTCCTGCTAGCTAGGGATGATGGGAGTTGTAGTCCAAAACCAGCTGGAGACCCAAGTCTGGGAAACACTGGTCTAGTTTTTCAACGGCTCTGCAAAAAAATTTTTTGAAAAAAAATCTATTGTAGCAGTTCAATTCAGAGATTCCACTCCACCCCACCTGTGTGCTAATTGAAAATATGCTTACCCTCATCTCTCTTTCTATGATACTGTCTTCAATCGAAAACATTTCCGACACAGGCCTCTCCTTCACTGGCTCTTTCTTGACTCTTTCCTTTACACTTGTGAGGTCCGGTTCGGAGATGGATGGGCCGAGCGAGGACCCATTGACTGACGCCTGATCAGTCCGAGATATGCTGATGGCTTTCGCAGGACCCGGCCTGACAGCCCTGGCTCGAGAGGCAGCCAGCAAAACGTTCGCCTGCTCATTGCTCAGGGCTCCGTTGCTGACGCTTTTCCTGGGGCCCGGATACTCAGGGGGAGGTTTGTTTGGTATCCTAGCCAAGGCGGCCTGCAGCTGAGCGCTGTACTCCACGTTTTCATGGAGCGCCGCCATGGAAGGCACCGATTCCGAAGCTTCTTCGTCCTCTTCGCTTTCGCTGCTGTGTATCAGCATTGTGGCGTCCGAGAAGGTCTTCTTGTGGTGGTAGTGAGGGAGCTGCTGGACCTCGTGAGCCCTGGGCCCCACTTCCTCCTGCTGCACCTGCTCGCGCAACGTGTTCCTGCGCGGCAGAGGGGCGTTGAGGCTCTTCAAAGCCATCGCTTCTATGCCGCGCACCATGTTGCTGATCACTTCCAAGCTGTGGCGCTTGTTGACGGCCGCGTGGTGCTTGACCGCCATAAGGGGCTCACTAACTTCCTGGAGAGACTGGTGAACCACCGGAGAGCTGTCCTCTTGGAAAGTCTTTACCAGGAGCTGCACCTTGCGAGTGACCAGATCGGGGCTGCTGCCGCTGACATACTTGTGGCGGTGACTCGCGAGGTCGGGTGTGCTGGTCGCAGGACGGGGGCGCGGATATGGTGGCGGGGGCCTGAAAAGGTAGTTCTTTAATATGTGCGCTGTGCCGCACCTCTGGTTGTTGGGGACTTGCATGTTGGCCAGTTCCGGGGTGCTGACGGTGTGGGAAATGGAACTGGCCGCTGCTTTCGTCTGCGCAGCGTTGATGGGGTTCACTTGCTCAGATGGCGCGGCGTGTTTTTTGTAAGTGCCCTGAGGCCCGTACGTAATGGCGTAAGGAGGCCTCTCCCGGATCTCCGGTTGACTGTACACAAGGTCTTTGGGTTGGTTGTACGCATGGGTGTTCCCAATGTTGAGGTTCTTCAAGGACTGGCTCTGGCTGTCCGGGTGGACAACCCCCCTCTTCATCTGCCTCATGACCGTCTCATAGTCTGGCGTCGGCCTATAGGAAGGCACGATAATCGCGCTGTGCCTATGGCTGGGGATGTAGTCCGCTCTCATTATGTCGCTCCCAGGGATGCTGAGGTTGGAGGACACCGGGGAAGCCTGGATGAAGTTCTGCGAGTGGTTGAGAGAGTTCGTGCTCTGGGCGCTGCACACGCTGCCGTTGGGAACGTTGCCGTTCAAGTAGCTGAAGTCCATCGCGCACCTGTCCAAGCTGCTCTGAGATCTACAGTAAAACATATCTTCGTTTCCGTGAAAAATGCTGTCTGTGGGCAGGAGAAAGTGAGAAACGAACAAGAAACATCATGAGCAAACAGGCTAAGGACAGTGGAGTAAGAGATGAGAATGTAAGGCGGTTTTTTTGGTAGCCTGCAAACAGGAATGCAATTCCCAGCAAGTGGTATTCAGAGGCATATTGGGTCTGACAGTGGAGGCAGAACATTGCCATCATGGCAAGTAGGAGAGGTAAAGGTAAAGGGACCCCTGACCATTAGGTCCAGTCGTGACCGACTCTGGGGTTGTGGCGCTCATCTCGCTTTATTGGCCGAGGGAGCCGGAGTTTGTCCGCAGACAGCTTCCGGGTCATGTGGCCAGCATGACTAAGCCGCTTCTGGCGAACCAGAGCAGCGCACGGAAACGCCGTTTACGGTCCCGCTGGAGCGGTACCTATTTATCTACTTGCAATTTGTGCTTTCGAACTGCTAGGTTGGCAGGAGCTGGGACCGAACAACGGGCGCTCACCCCGTGGCGGGGATTCGAACCGCCGACCTTCTGATCAGCAAGTCCTAGGCTCTGTGGTTTAACCCACAGCGCCACCTGCGTCCCTCAAGTAGGAGTGAGGGCCTTCCAAAACTCTGATGACGACATCGCCGTCATGCCTGCACAAACAGGGTCTCCCCACTGCTAGCTATGGAAGGGGAAAGGAGCCCAAGGCACTCGTGGAGCCGGCCATAGTCAGGAAGAATGTGACCAGCAGGGATAGAGCTACGAATCACTTCCTCTTCCATTAAGAAAATGCCAGTGCTGTCACAAGCCAGCACACTCTTGCAGGCAAATGATTCCTAATGTGCACACGGATTGCCCATCCCTGCAAAACACAGGGAGACATCCCTCCCAACACAGGAGACTTTCTATAGGCACATCTCCCTAGATGTGTGAAGCAAACTGTCTCACCTCCACCACCACCACCACCTTGTTCATGTAAACAGGAAGCCTGCTTGCTGATCTTAACGCACATGGCGCTGGTACTTAGCCATATTACTGTAAGACTGAGTGTAGTGAAATTTGTTGGTGGGGAGAGGATGCAAAACAGAACAAACACTCTTTTCCGAAATCAGCAAAACAGTGGGGTAGAATTAGAAGCTCTCGGCCTCTAGAGCAAGCAAAAATGACAGGGCAGAAATAGTAATGATCAGGGATGGTCTCTCCTCTAATCCACCCTCTCCCGCCAGACCCCTGCCATTTAAAAATACACTCCTGTTTGAAAGGTGTGGTATTTTCCCCCCTGACCATTAAGCCAAAGCTTGGTGGGATAGCACATACTGCTTAAACAGGGGGCCATTTCAGCACAGTAGCCAAGAGATTCAACTACTAACCAGGAGGTCTCTGGTTTCAATCTCACACCTGCCACAAGCCAAGTTGTTGGCCTTAGAACAGACATGGGGAACTTTTGGCCCTCCAGATGTTGCTGAACTACAACTCCCAGCAGCCCCTGGGAGCATGGCTGATGGCCAGGGATGGCAGGGGATGTAGTTTGGAGCAATATTTGGAGAGCCAAGGGTTCTCCACACCAGCCTTATGGCAAGGCACTGTCTCTTGTCCTCATCTCTTTCTTGCAGATGTGTAACCATATTGTCCTGCCCTACGGTTTTATTACGCAGGTAAGTGAGATCAAGTTTGTGAAGTGCTTTGAAAAATCTAGGCAGGCTATACGTGAACAAGTGGGATATGTAACAAAATGTTGCAGCGTGGAATGCTTCTGTTTAAGGTTCCAGACACTCCCCCCCCTTCCACGTTCCTTTCCTTCTCTCTACTCCCAGCAGCAGCCTGTCAGCATGACCAGCGCTTGACGACTTAATAGCCCTACCAATGTATTATTTACTATTGCTGCTGTTGTTTTTAGTCATAATATTTGTGATAAATACCTTGTGAATTGTGAGTTTCCGTGTAGTGCTCTCCACACTGGAGGTGCATAGGTGGCATAATAAATGGGTGTTGCCTTGGCTAAAATGCAAAAAGAAAAGAAAATTGCAATTTGACACAGAGTTATAGGAAACAGTCTTCTCATGAATCAGAATTCTTGGTCCAGCTGGGTCAATATTGTCTACACTGACTGGTAGCGGCTTCCCAGGTTTCAGGCAGGGATACTCTCCAAGCCATACCTGGAGCTGCCCGTGTCTGTACCTGGGCCATAGCTCAACCACTGAGCTATGGCCCTTCCCCAAATATTCACATCCCCCCCCCAAAGAAAACATTTAATGACAGGAGTCTTGTACTGACTTTTCAAGTACTCTTTCCACAAAACACTGCTATGCTATAACTATACTATAGATCAGGCGCAGGCAAACTCGGCCCCCCAGATGTTTTGGGACTACAACTCCCATCATCCCTGACCACTGGTCCTGTTAGCTAGGGATGATGGGAGTTGTAGTCCCAAAACATCTGGAGGGCCGAGTTTGCCTATGCCTGCTATAGATTTCTGTAGTTATGAAAAAGAGCTCTAGATTTCTCTCCCCCCTCCCCCTTCCTTGGTGCTTGTTGTTTAGCTTGTCACTTATCCCAAGATATTTACCAAGGATGATCGACTCCAGGTGGGCCGCCGCCTAATAGGAGGAGGGGAATTTGATTGTCTGTGGGAGGGGAAAAAATGAAGGGGGAATGTTTTAAATAAACGTCATTTTGAATAAGAATGTACACATCATACTGTTAACGTCTGGTGTTTCGTATGCGTGGTATTGGGGAGAATCTGGAAAGAGGGACCCCAGAAATATGTCCTATGACAGGAACTCTGAATAAATGATATTGGCAAAATACCAGCTAGGTGAAAGGCTTAAACGAGAGGCCTTTGGGTAAGCCAGTGGTAAGCTTAGGATATGTAAAAAAAAAAAAATTATCCTGAAAATGCAAGGAGGGGAGGAGTGAAAGGGAAAGAACTAAAGCAATTTGAGAAATGAGGACTGGGAACACAAGACAGTTCAACGTGGTTTAGGCAAGGAAGAAAACAAGAATCTGGGAGCAAGCAAGTCACTCAAGAGGCAATGCACACACACAAGCCAAGAGAGGAAATATTAAATAAGTGCTGGGCATGATGCTAGAATAGCAGGATGCATGGCGGGAAAACTTAAGGAGAAATTATGATAGAATGGAGGAAGAGAGCAAATGAAAGAAAAAAGCATTCACAAGACAGAGCAGGAGTAAAGTGCTTACGTGTAGAGAAGAAAGGCGGAATTTCTCCTCTTACAGTTTCTGATCTGGTGAACGACGTTATGTGCAATTAGAAAATAAGACAGACAAGAAGAAATGCGAACAACAGAGCCATTTTCAAAAAAGCACAGACTAGAGGGGGGAAAGGTTTTCGGCAAGGAATCACAGGCCTCAAATAGTCTTCTAAGAGAATGATTAAACCCGTGTCTTATTTTATTGATTTTTGAAGGCATCGCCCATGCCTTAGGCAAGGCTGCAAATGCAGTCAACCACAACCAAAATGGAAATGCAGCATAAAACACAACAAAACTAGAAAAAGATGAGAGATACAAAATAATATAACCTGGCAACCGAAGCAGAAGCAGGGCAAAGCCATCTTGCAGCCACCATGAACATTTATAAATGGGAATAGAAGGGGCATGGAACGGCAGCCCAGAGAACATTCTCTGTGGCAACTCCTAAATTGTGGAACTCCCTCTTCACAGAGGCCCATCTAGCAACATCGTTATATGGAGTCCATTGCCTGGCACCTTCTTTGTCTATTTTAGGCACGAGGCAAACATTTTCCTTTTCGCTTGGGCTTTTGGTCCTTAGCATGAAGGCTTTTAAAGTATTTGTGCCCTCTTTTGGTGATGCATGATCTGCCAGACCTGTCTTTTAGGTTTTCATTTATAGGGTTTATTGCAAAAGGTGTTACTATTTCTGCTGAGTTTGCACATTGCTCTGAGTTATTTTTATAAGTACAGTGGTACCTCGGGTTAAGAACTTAATTCGTTCTGGAGGTCTGTTCTTAATCTGAAACTGTTCTTAACCTGAAGCACCACTTTAGCTAATGAGGCCTCCCACTGTCGCCACTGCACGATTTCTGTTCTCATCCTGAAGCAAAGTTCTTAACCCGAGGTAATATTTCTGGGTTAGCGTATGTAACCTGAAGCGAGGTACCACTGTAACTAAATAATAATAGCAATAATAATAGCTTAGCTTGGCTTTATAAACTGTTTTCCTTCCTTTAATTGTATGGTTGTATGGCTACAAACAACCCCAGGTGACACTTGGAGATCTGCACATTGTCACAATGCATCCCTAATTATAAGATTATAATTATATTTTCTTTCTTATATTATAATTATAAGATTATTGTATAATCTTAGAAGGTTGAATAATCTTAGTAGGGGCGTGGCTGTGACAACCACAAAGGGGTCCCTGCACTTCTGAGTATGCCACTAGACCACTGGCAGCCTGTGCTACTGCCCACTTCTGGCCGGACGTTCATCTATCAGAGGTGATGTAGCTGCATCTGATATGGCAGATCCTGCACCTAGGAGAGGGTTGGTCTCCACAGCTTCCCAAGGTCCTTTTTAACTCTCCCATTGCAACCAGTGTGTTTCGGATTGCAGCTACCCTTTCATCCTAAATTGAGCCTCTAAGTTTACAATCGAGAAAGCAAGCATCGTTTATGCAGGCCTTATCTTGGATTTCTGAACTAGAGGAATGTTTCCCTTTGCTGTGTTTCTGCAGGTGAGGGTGAGGGAGAAGGCAGGTGGGGAACAAATAATAAAAATGGCCTCCAAAAGCCTAAACCGAAATGAGGTCGCTTCACATTTCACGAGCAGAAGCCAGAACTGGAAAAGGGGAAAGTACTCACTCTGTGCAGATGTTGTTTTGCTTGTAAAACTTGTGCTTTGCAGCAAACAGCCGTGAAATATACTTGGCATTTTCAAGGTCGTCCTTTAAAAAGTTGAAAGGGTGGAGGGGGCAGGGAGGCAAGGGAATGCAGGAAAAACACTTAATTACACTGTGACTAGCGTAGCAAAGGGTTATGTAACGGTGAACGCGCTCCTCTGAAATATTCAGTAGGAATAATACTTTGCTCAGAAACACACATGCAGAAATGCCAGCATCCAAGTCCCCATATCATAGGGATGCTGGTGCTAATTCAATAGAGATGCTAATACAAACTAGTCACACCATTGGGGACCAGAGGAGAGAAGTCCAATGGTGAAATGGTGCTATGACAAGTGTCAAACCTAAGGCTTCAAGCCCTGTTTACTGGAAGCATCTGGCTTGACATGGTGCAAAGCAAGAGGCTGAGCTACAGCCACCAATGGTTTGATCCAGGAAGGCTTTTCTCGTGAGAAATCAAATGGAGTTTCTTTTAAAAGACCAATATCTGATTTAAAAGGTAAAGGTACCCCTGACCATTAGGTCCAGTTGCGGATGACTCTGGGGTTGCACGCTCAACTCGCTCTATAGGCCGAGGGAGCCGGCATTTGTGGCCAGCATGACTAAGCCGCTTCTGGCGAACCAGAGCAGCGCAGGGAAACTCTGTTTACCTTCCTGCCGGAGTGGTACCTATTTATCTACTTGCACTTGACGTGGTTTTGAACTGCTAGGTGGGCAGGAGCTGGGACCAAACAACAGGAGCTCACCCCATTGAGGGGATTCGAACCGCCGACCTTCTGATCGGCAAGCCCTAGGCTCTGTGGTTTAGACCACAGTGCCATCCGCGTCCTTAATATCTGATTTACAGGAGGTTAAAGAGAAGCATCAGGGTATAGCAATGAAGCCCATCCTATGACGTTCCCAAGGCATTTGGCTGCCCACTGGTAAAAATAAAATTAAAAAAATGGACTAGATGGATTCTGGACTCAGCCTGCAAGGCAGTTCTTTTGTTGCGACAAAACTGGGTAATACTGGTGGCTAACAATTAGGGCTGTGTACAGCTCCCCTGACCCAATCCAGAACCCTGGATTATTATTATAATTTATTAAATTTGTTTACCGTCCTTCATCCGACAATCACAAGGCAGTTTCCAATATGAAAACACAAAAATACAAACCATAATCACAAATAAAAACAACCTCCCTTGCCCCCCCAGTTTAAAAGGCCATAGATCAAGTTGAACCACCTTGGTTTGGCCCCGAATCAATCCATGGCTGGAGCTCATGTTTAATTATGGTTGGGAGGAGGGGTGGAGGAAGAAGCAGAGACTCCCTCCGAACAGAGAGCAGGAAGGTTCAAGCCTGCTGGGTGCTTCTTTGCAATCACCTTCCGTATGGGAAAGATACTTGCAAAAGTAGCGCAGCCCGCAGGATCAAATCCTCTACTCATCAGCTGGTGAGCGGAGGATTCAATCTGTTTTGCCGACACGTTCCCTTTTGAGAACACACCAGTGAAGCAGACCCCTGCAGTTTTGCCATCTGATGTTCTGCTTCCTGACAGCCTCGGATCCCTCTGGGTAGCCTGACTTGATCCAAGGCTGTCTCAACCTAACTTTGCCCAAGCCCTGTGCCGGCCAGGCTTGAGCTGAATCCAGTGCACAGCCCTACTAACAACCTCAGTTATCATTCACTGCAATCCCTTTCCAAGCTCCCGGGGTGGGGTTGATCTCACGGAAGTTAAAATAGCACCCTGGGAAATCATCTGTAAGAATCCATCACACTTAAAATGTATACAATGAAGATCCTGTGGTTGGAAGGGGGAAAAAATAACCCTTAAGGCTGATCTTTTAATGCTTTGCTTACGGTATGAAAGAGCACAGTTTCTTCTTTGTTGAGCAGTTCCACAGCAATGGAAGACTTGTTGTGTGTTATATTCCCGATATCATTCCACCTGCGGAGAAGCAAGTTTGCTGAAACAGACATGCCACTGCCAAACAGCCAGAGTTGTCATGATTCTTTCAGTACAAGGAGAATGTTCAGTAACTGTTTGGCTCAATCAAGCCACTCCCTGCTTTTAGCCTGTGAAAATTATTATCAATGACCTGGCTGCATGTACAGAGTAATCACCTAAGAAGCAAATGTAAATGTGTCTTTGCCTCCAACCAAATCATGTTAATGGTTCTGCAGATGCTATGCAGCCAGTGTGGTAAAGTGTTTAGTATGTGGGATGAGGACCTTAGGAGACCAGGGTTCAAGTCCTCATCAGCCACGAAGCTTCCCTTGTAACCCTGACCTGACTACCTCATAGGAGAGCGAGAATCACCTGTACTCCCTTGAACTCTTTGGAGGAAACATAGTATATAAATGCAACAATGAATAAATAGATAAAATAAAACACCTTGTTTTAGGAGGGGAAACAGCTGAAACACAAACGGATGTGTTGCGTTTATCACTTTGGAAAAAAATAATAACCTCCTTTTTTTGTGCAAACTCATGGCCTATAACGAAATACAAACAGGGGTGTATCCAACCCTGCTGTTCTGCTAGAGCAGCGAATTAGTCCCATTTAGAGCAAAAAACAAATATGAGCAGCTCTCAGCCATCACCAAAGGTTTCCCCAAATATATTTCAAGGTAACAAAAAAGAACATATAGAAGGAGCTAGTTGGTGTCATCAAAGGAGGACATTCCATAATATCTGTGCCACAACTGAAATGGCCCTATGCAGGACCTCAGTTTATGAAGGCTCCAGAACAGAACCTCAAACTAGGTTTGAGAGCCTCTGGAACAGTGTGGGAGGTAGTACTGGGAACAGGAGCCAGGCAGAGGAACTGGCAAAAGAAATCCTCCCTCTCCATTTCAGTGGAATCTCTTTTGTCAGTGGGATCCCATCATTGGATTAAACTGAATAAAACTGGGTTGGATCCGGTTTTCACCCATCCAGCCAAGTTGATGGAAATCAAGCTAGCTTTGGATCAGTCAGACACAAAGTTTCCTGATCATGTTTTTACCTGTAGATCACTGTGGGCCTTCCCATTCTGTTCTTGACAAAAATCCCCATGCAGTAGATTCCAAGGTGCATGTCATTTCCTTGATTGTCCTACATGAATGATAATAAAAAATGTAAATGTTCAAATTTTAATTATACCAAACCTTGAAATCAGCAGCAATCACAATATAAAGAAAAAAAGGAGAGGAAAACCCAACCCCCAACAAAATCTTATTTCTTATCTAGATGCCTTTTGCATCAGATATTTTGGGCTGAACAAACCTCCCATGAGAAGATCTACCCCGCTGATGGAATGGACATATATTGCGTATCAAGATTGAATCCACAAGGCCGCTTGCTCCTTTCATATAAAATATTCCAAAGGAATATCACCAGAGGTACAATGGAGTAATATCAGAAGCAAGGACCTCACTGTGCCTCAGGACGAAGCACAATTTGAATAACTTCTAATTGCGTTTTTCTCTGGATCCACCAAAGAAGTGTGGAGTTAGCTCTTACAGCAATGCTTACTGCGCCCTCTCCAATTTGCGTTTATCTCACTTTGGTGCTTACCAAACACTACAAAAGAGAATGGATTAGAGAATTGATTTGCCGCAGCAAAGAACTTTAAACCTTTGATTCCTGTCAGTTGTCCAAAAGGCTCGGCATGGAATGCTGCATCAATTTCTGGTTTCCGGTGCAAAAATCAGTAACTTTGATGCAGGCTGTCACAAGATTCAGAACACAAGAGAGGAGCCAAATTGTTTATTTCCTTCTGTCCCTTCGGGCGAAACAGACAGTTGTCCAGATTCTTCAAATCAGCTGAAGCTGAGACAAGGGCAGATCTTCAGCTGAGATGTGCCTTAGGGTAGAAATCAGATTGCCCCTGGCAGATAAAGCCACAGAATACCTCCACAAACAATGAATGGGTGGGGGGTGGAGCGGGTGGAGGCTGACTTTGAAAGCTAAAAACTGCAATGTTTTGACTTATTCTGCAAGCTGGTTGCAAGCTGTTCAGGACGTTTCATATTTTCCTAATACAATAAAAGGCCTCAGTTGGAAATTAAGTCGGAGTTCCTTACCTTCACAGGGAAGCTTTCCTGCCCAAACCCATCTAGTCGTTCTACTTCACTGATGTATAGGAATTCCGCATCCGCTGCAGAGATGCCACTGTAAATCGAGTTAAGAGAAAGACGGGTCAGGATTGCCCAGAAGACCAAAGATTCTAGGTTGAACCCTTGGAATTTGCTAACTTAGAATTATATAGAGGTATCCAACACGTAGAAGGCTAGTTTTGTGTCCTCCATATGCTCTTGAACTACATTGCCCATCATCCCTGACCATTTGCCATGCTGGGCGGGGTGGGATCCGATGAGAGTTGAAGTCCAGCGACATCAGGAGAATGAAGAAGAAGTTTGGATTTGATATCCCGCTTTATCACTACCCGAAGGAGTCTCAAAGCGGCTAACCATCTCCTTTTCCCTTACTCCCCCACAACAAACACTCTGTGAGGTGAGTGGGGCTGAGAGACTTCAGAGAAGTGTGACTAGCCCAAGGTCACCCAGCAGCTGCAAGTGGAAGAGCAGAGATGCAAGCCTGGTTCACCAGATTACGAGTCCACTGCTCTTAACCACTACACCACACTGACTCTCACGCTGAATGGTACATTGGGTGCCCTTGATTTAGGACAACGATAGCATTCAAAGGCCAAAATAGTTTGGGCAACCCTCCTGTCCCCCAAACTTAAACCTAGGCTATCCAGATCTCATCAAAAACAGTCTGAAGCTGAAAATGAGCAAAGCCAAAGGAAATTTTATAGTCATGCAAAAATGCTACCACCCAGTCACTATCTGTTGCTAGTATTGGCTTCTGACTGGAATTAAGCTATTCTCTCTCAACCTCAGCGCCCGCTGTCAATAATAATAATAATAATAATAATAATAATAATAATAATAATAATTTTTTATTTATACCCCACGCTTCCCGGTTCAGAAAACTGGGCTCAGGGCGGCTAACAACAAATTTAAAACACTTAATTGATGCAACAAAAAACAGCAGAAAATACGGTATAAAACGTGAATATCAATAAATTCAGAATTCAAAAATCAATTTAGGGGCGAAATCCATCCAATAAACATTAGATGATCAGCAGGGCTAGCTGGCTAAATTAGTCCTATTTGGGCCAGCGAGGAGATCAGGGAGAATTAGCTGTGGGATCCCAGAGTGGGTAATCTTCATAAAAAGAGGAGGGGGAGGGAAGGAAGGGGAATAAAAGATCAGGCTAAGTTCAAATTGAAAGCCAAGCGGAATAGCTCTGTCTTACAGGCCCTGTGGAAGGAAGTTAAATCCTTCCCCAGCCTTCACTACAGGCACAAGTGCATTCCGATGCATGTGCAGCTTCACGGTGCTCAAAAATAATTAGCAAGCACGATTTCCTGTATGTAATCATCAAATCATGCCTCCCCACCCGCCTGACAGTGGCCACCCAAATGCTTCTGGGAAACTTACAAGGCAGGCTTGAAAGCAACAGCGTTTCCTCTGTTAATTATCCCCAGCATCTCCTCATCAGAAGTCCACGGCCTTTGAACTTGCCAGGGCCATTTTGTTACAATGGCTGATAGGCAAGGCGCCACCCTTTCCCTAAGAGATGTCATTCCAGGCCATATCAAAGCCATTGGCCAAAGCAGAAACACAGGTTGCAGGAAACAGCACCGCAGGCTAAACCTACTCCAGAAACAAGTTGATAAAGAAGGAAGGCATGCTGCCTTCTCTGAGCAACACACTGGCATTTTGGGGTCTCACCTGTGTTTTGTGTGCACCTTGGCTACTTTGTCAGTCAGCTCCTTCAGGGAGGCTTCGTCTTGGATCCAGTCCTAGAGAGATGTAAATAAAACAATGATCAAGGAGTTGGAGCAACTTCCCCAGAGGCAAAGGTTGCCATATTCAGTGCTTTATTCATTTAGAAAAAAAGGTGAGTAAGTGGTAACATGACATAGGTGTGTACAGTTATGCATTGTGTAAAGAAAGTGGGCAAAGGCATTGTCTTCCCTCTCGTATAGCAATATAATGTTATAGATTTGGGTGGACCACCACCATCCCGAACCCTAGAAACCCTGCATTCTGAGGTGGTACAGTCCTTGCAGGACTACAACATCATTCTCTTGTAGATGAAAGCTCAACTTGGAAAGCCCAACACACAGCCTACAAACCATCTGGTATAACAGAAACTACTGAGCAAAAGAAAGAAAGAAAAAGTGCTTACAGAGCAAACACTTTCATAGAACCCATCCAAGCAAACCATTCGTTTTGCAAGAAAGGGTACAGGTAATTAAACTGGCCCATTAAGAACACAGGAAGCTGCACACAATTCCATGCTCTCCCAGGTTTCAGATATTCTTCTTTCCTAGTTCTATTTGGAAACACTGGAAATGGAACATGGGACTTAAGAGCATAACAAGAGCCCTGCTGGATCAGGCCAAAGACCCCTCTAGTCTAACGTCCTGTTCTCACAGTGGCCAACCAGGAAGCTATGGGAAGCCCAAGCTCAGGACATGAGCACAGCAGTAATATTTCCACTTGGGATTCCCAGCATACTGCCTCTGACAGAGGAGGGAGAACACAACCATTGTGGCTAGTAGCCAATGACAGACTTATCCTTCTTTTGCATGCAAACCTATCTTTACCACTGAGCCTCAGATCTTCATCAGAGAGGGGGATTCCTCTCCAATATAGACACAATCTCCCTTTCAAATGAAATATACCCTAGGGGTATTCTATTGCACAGAAAAACATAAAATAATATTGAGGGGAAAACAGCTTATTAGCTCCAAAAGGGAATCGCTAAGAAACTCTAAGGAAAATAATGCAGGAAAGAAGAGCTATGTTTATTTCTGCGACGTACTTAGGGTTTTGAGATCAAAAGCTTTGCTGCCGGTTCTGTTTTTAAAAAATATGCAATCCAATACATTTGTGATCTCAACAGTTAGGGGGAGAAAGATGTCTACATTGTAAACACGGTTTGCGTGTGGCACGGGTTATCTTTTAAAATCATCCGGTGCAATAGTACAAAATGGAATCTGCTCATAATTTCAAAGTTGAAAAGAAAAAGAAAAAAAGAAAAAAAGCCATCAAACTCTGAGTGATTATTTTGGAATGCCTCAAGGCTGTGTGTATGTATACTTAACCAAACTGCCTTAGTCCTTGCTCACTGGGGGCCTCCCCGTAATATTTGTTCCTGACACTGAAAAATGTGAAAGCGGTAGCGTGCTAATGAAAAATGGCATGCTACGTGCCTGTACACAGCTGCACACCTGCAAGGCGTTCTGTGTACATAACTTTGTTCTTTTCACCGCTGAAGAAATGCCATTTGACACATATTGTAGCTGCACAAGATCAAACACAGTCCGAAGGCAGCAACCTTTCACCGGTTCTCAAGTTTGCTATTCCCCCTCCCCCCCCCACTCGCAAGAAACACCTCACCCGCCAGCAAAGTCTTTGGTCCATTGACTATGCCGTTAATAAGGGCTTACTATTAGCCAATTAAGTAAACTATCCCATGCGGACATCTAACTCTTTCCAGTGGGTGGACACCGTTAAAAAGCCAGGCAGGATGAAGGTACCAATTACAGCGTCGAGTTTGGATGTGGGAAACCTTCCTTCAAATATCCAGTTAGCTATTACATTGAACGACAGATTACACGTGCTCATAGCACTATTTTAGCTTCCCAGTACTCCCACAAAGTAGACTTATGTATGCGTAACTCAGAGTAATGAGATGAAGCTCCCTGCCAAGTGTGTGAACAAAAGAAGGGCCCTGCAGGATCAGGCCAAAGGCCCATCTAGTACACAATGCTGTTTCCACAGTGGTCAGTCAGGAGCATATGGGAGGCTGACAAGCAGGACATGAGCACAACATCGTTCTCCTGATCGTGAGCCCCAGCAACTGTTACCTATGAGGCATACTCCGTCTGATACTGGAGGTAATAGGACCATTAGCAGCTACTGACAACCTTATCCTTCATGAATTTGTCTAATCCCCCTTTAAAGTTGGCCATTGGTACGTCCCGGGGAAGCAGATTTCTGGATCCATTTCAATTGGGGTTTAGGCCCAGTTTTGGCACAGAAACTGCTTTGGTTGCCCTATATGATGACCTCTGTTGAGCGAGAGACAAGGGAAACATGTCCCTGTTAATTCTTCTTGGCCTCTCAGCGGCTTTCAATACCATCAACCATGGTATCCTTCTGGAGCGACTGTCCTGAACTAGGGGTGGGTGACGCTGCTTTGAGGTGGTTCCAGTCCTACTTGGATGGTCGTTCCCAGAGGGTGTTGCTTGGGGAATGCTTTTCAGCCTCATGGCACTGTCAATTTGGGGTTCTGCAGGGCTCAATCCTATCCCCCATGTTGTTTAATATCTACATGAAACTGCTGGGTGGGGTTATTCGGAGGTTCGGGGTACGTTGTCAGCAGTATGCTGATGGCACTCAGTTCTATTTCTACTTTACATCTGCAGGTGAGGCAGTGGAAGTACTGGACCAGTGTCTTGTCTCAGTAATGGACTGGATGAGAGCCAACAAACTGAAACTCAATCCAGATAAGACTGAAGCACTAGGGTGGTTCCCTAGACTGGATGGGTGGGAGATTGCCTGCTCTTGATGGGGTTACACTTCCTCTGAAGGAGCAGGTTTGTAGCTTGCGGGTACTCCTAGATCAGGGGTCAGCAAACTTACCGTGCCTTGGGCCGGTGTCTCCAGCGCCGAGCGCGCAGCAGGCCGGAGGCTGGGGGAGCGTGTGCCCATACGTGTGCGCACACGCTATTTCCGCCGCACTTCTGGGTCAGAGGAACACCGGAAATAGCTTGTGCGCATGTGCACGGGTCTCCTCCGACCTGGATGTACACTGGAAATAACGCTTGTGCATGTGCACAAGCTATTTCCGGCACTCCTCCGACCCGGAAGTGGGCAGCCACGCAGCGCAGCGCTGGTAAGAGCGGGCGGCGGGGGTCGCCAAGGGCCAGATAAATGAGTCCCTCAGGCCTTATCTGGCCTGCGGGCCTTAGTTTGAGGACCCCTGTCCTAGATCCTTTGCTGTCACTCCAGTATATGAAGTGAAAGGTCAGTTTTTGCTCCTTCTCAGTTGTGTCCCGGGAAGGCCCACTTGACCAGGGAGGAGGCAGTGACTGGTGTACGTGTGCGGGCATGGCTTGGGAGGTAGGGTTTCTGGAAGGGATGGGGTTTTTAGGCTTTTGTGGGAAGTGGCCATCAATATATAGCAAGCCCTCAACTTAGATGGATCTAAGTTGGATGGATCTTAGATGGATCCAGGGATCGCACCTAAAGACAAAATTGTATATAGTCAAAAAAAAATGGGTGCAACAGTGGGTGGGATTGCCAAAGTCTTTCCCTCCAGATGCCAGCCCCATTTCCATTTTTATTTAATTTGCCAAGTGTGTAAAGTTGAATGCGCACAAATTAAACGTGCATCAATTGCGAGCTTACTATATTCCAAGGTAGAAAGAGACAACAAGCACTTTACTCCACTGACTTCTTGAAATTTGCTGAAGGTCACGGCGGATCACTTAACGAGCAGAGCTTAGGTGGCCATTTGTCATGTCAGCTTTAGTTGAGATCCCTGCCTTACTGGTGGTTGCATTAGATAGCCGTCAGGTTCCCTTCCAACTTTACAATTCTATTATTATGAAGCAGGAAAAGCCCACATGCAAAAGGTGAAATGAAAGATCAAGGTTTATGAACTCACCATAGGAAACAATACATATTCCCGGAGAAAATCATGAGATGCAAATTGATGGAAGTCTCCAAAATCAGCTGGAGAGGAAAGAGGGAGAGAAAATTAACCCGCAAACCACATTAGCTCAGCGCTCCCTGCACATGAAACTCTCAATCTTGAACAGATACAAAAATGTTTAACATGCAGCGAACTGGGATGTCCAATGCAAATATGAGAGCATGGTGTCAAATCTGTGACTTAGAGGGAAAAATCCAATACTCGCTACCAAAGGAAAGACCTTTTCTCACCAAAGGATATTTTATTCTTTTAGTAAAAAACCACCCTTATTTAACTGAAACACAAATTGCTTGATTCCTCCCAATTAAACCCTGCCATGGAATCCATTTGGATGAAAAAGAGTTTAAAACTATTTTAAACAAACTAAAACAAAACATGCATACATGCACACAGGACCAAAAATGTTCTGATTTCATCACTTATATTTCTAAAATGTTGCAAAAAGGAACAGCTTGGGTGTGTTTCCCAATTAGGATGATGTCATCCTCTTGATCTCAGATCAACAGATCACAGATTTGAGGTAAGGTTTATGGATTGTTTTTATACCTGGCTTCCATCTTCATGAGTGTACCTCCCTCACCTCTCTTTCTCTTACCGTCACACATACACACAGAGAGACACCCCTATATTTGTGACCCACCAAGCCAAACACAGTTAATCAGGAGCTTGATAATCTTCCAGATCATTATGTCTTAGAACACATACTATAAATGGGGCTTGCTAAACCACTTGCAGGTTGATGAGACAAATATGATGGTCTGTGTTCAGCTTATGGCAAATCTCTTCAGGTCACTATGATAGTATGCAAGCCGTCTCTTGCCCTACTCTGAAAAATGGGATGCGGGTGGTGCTGTGGTCTAAATCACTGAGCCTCTTGGGCTTGCCAATCAGAAGGCCAGTGGTTCAAATCCATGTGATGGGATGAGCTCCAAATGCTCTGTCCCAGCTTCTGCCAACCTGGCAGTTTGAAAGCATAACAGTGCAAGTAGATAAATAGGTACTGCTGTGGTGGGAAGGTAAATGGCGTTTCTGTGCGCTCTGGCACTTGTTACGGTGTTCCGTTGCGCCAGAAGCAGTTTAGTCATGCTGGGCCCATGACCTGGAAAGCTGTCTGTGGACAAGCACTAGCTCCCTCTGCCTGAAAGTGAGATGAGCGCCGCAACCCCATGGTTGCCTTTGACTGGACTTAACTGTCCAGGAGTCATTTACCTTTACCCTTTACCTACTCTGAAAAACAATTAAGTTTTCTGAGCATTTCTGTTGAGAAGCTGGCAATGGAAGATTCAATGCCTATCCTTTTCTAAGGAGGAGATATTTAGTTGTTGGTCTTAATAAGTTCCTTCGCAAAATGGGGACAGACAATTCAAGTGGCTGTGGAAAAGAGAACATGCATTTTTAGACTTCCTTTTTTGAAGTCTCCAGCCCTTCTAGGCAAGATGGATGAAAATCCTGCCCGTAAGTCAAAGTTGCCAGGTGAACTCTAGCAGAAATGTTTTCTCTGTAACATCTCGAAGGTTGCAGAATTCTTTTTCTCATTATTTCTAGCAGTTTCGATATCTTTTTAGGAACTTGTGCACAAACTTTTCTTCCAGTCATGAGGCACTGTAGGGCACTGGATTTTAAATTCTGGTTGTGGGTTGCTCTACATATGTGCTTACTCCGTTAGGGATGGGAGTGACTGACGGCTTTTTATGTATTCAGCACATAACATCATGCAAATAACTGTATTCATTTTTCAGATGTTTTGGAATCGGGAGAATGAGGGTAGAAGTATTTCCTGAAGGCTATAATACTGTCTGTAAAAGACTCTCCCACCTACACCGCTTCATTTTAACAGAGAGAAATATTGCCCAAGAGCTCTTGCTTTCTTTTATTTGAATCAGATCAAACACTGCTGAAAAGGTTCTCAAGATGCTGGAAATTCCCCTCGTAAATTACACTAGTCAAATATTCTTGCAAAGCCTTCAAGACAATTTCATATGATTACTGGGTGCCAAAAATGCTGTTTCATTTCATTTCACATTATAAATGTGTGTTTACTTCTAAACTAGAGAACACAAGCAGATAAGAAACTGTGCATGTAACTCTTTTTATTTTTTTAAAAATCTGCACACAAACTTTTTAAAACACACACACACACACACACACACACACACCCCTAAATGAAGCAGGGGGGAAACCTGTAGGGATTCCCTATGTCACTTTTCAATCAAGGACAATGGTGGGGACAGGGGAAAACTGTAACTGATTGTATGTTTGTTCCTATATTTTAATTTTTTTTAAAAAAGGTTATGCAGAAAATGAACAATGTGAGCACATAAGGCTTTCTGAATGCCTACAACACTGGAACAATAAAATACATTCTATCTCAGTCCACAGTAAAGCTTTTGGAGCTATGCCCTGAGAAAAAACTGGCTTAGTTTGGCTGTAATGAGAAACAATGATTTTCTATTATGAGAATGAGCTGTGGTGAACCTTGGTGTCATGCAGTCATCCTCGCATCTCCTCCCTTCCATTTCTGATTTTTAAACTAACCACAGTTTCCAATTATGTCCTAACTGTGGCTTGTTCAGACTATGATTAATGAGAACAAGTCAGAATCTGGAACCACTTTGATCCTGGTTGGCTATCATTAAAATCACAGATTAAACAAACCAGTTTCCCGAGTCAGACATCTTGGGGAACTCTGGTTAGTTTAAAATAGGGGTGCCTAACCTGTGGTCCTCCAGATGTTGCTGGACTCTAACACCCATCAGCCTCAGCCAACAGGGTCAATAGCCAGGAATGATGGGGTTTCTAATCTAACAACATCTGGAGGGCCACAACTTGGCCAATCATCGTGTAAAACTACTACTCTCCATCCCTGGGTTATGAAACAGAAAAGGGGAAAGAGGAAGCAGTACCATGGTTTACCCACTAAAAGAACTAAACTACTGTTAGCTAGTCACAATCTACAACAGTAGCTGCAGGGTAGAGGGGGTGGATAAGGCCCAAGGGACTTGTTTATCCGACCCCTGCCACCGCCCGCTCTTACCGGCACGGCACAGTGCAGGGACCCACTTCTGGATCAGAGGAGCACCAGAAATAGCTTGTGTGCATGCGCATGGGCCTCCTCCGCCCCGGATGTGCACAGGAAATAGCGTTTGCATGTGCGTATGGGCGCGTGCTCCCCTGCCCTCCAGCCCACCGTGCGATCATCGCTCAAGACAGTGGCCCGAGGCAAGGAAAGCTTTAGACCCCTGGCCTAAGAGCATCAGATGAGGAAGCAAGAGTTAAGGGTTCAAGGCCTGTTCCTAACATGATTTCCCCCTCTGTTTCAACATTTGTTCACTCTCAATATTTCCAGTGTAACTTCCAGCTAATCGGGATGGGCAGCTACATAATGAGAAAGAGAGAGAGAAAGACAGACAGACAGACAGACAGACAGACAGAGAAATACAGTGGCTAGAATGTTAAACTGCTCTTCCTAATTTAAATTATGTGTTTCAATCTCATGCAATAGTCCTGGGAATCTCCACCATAGGAAATGTAGCGAAATAAATTTCTAACACTTACAGTTATGCCAGGAATTATTTCTTGGGGGCTGAATTCCATACATATACTATTTCCAAATTATAAAGTGGCACTTTTAAAAATGTCAGTCAGTGGCTGTCATCTGAAATATTTTGAATCAAGCCAGCTACCACGACGAGCAGGTGGCCACATCTAGTCTACAGTAACTGGAACTTATTCCTGTTGCAGTCAAATAAACAGATAATAAGAGAAAGAGTGAGCAGGTGAGTTTGCCATACCTTGAACCGCCAAGGCAGCTAACTTGATCCCATGTTCCCGTGAAGATCGCAATCGTCCATCAAGAACATCTTTTTTTACCTGCAGGTAATACTGATACCTGTAAACAAGAGATACAGCAAAATGAAACCAACAGTATCTACACTTGGGATTCCCCTCACCCCACCCCGAAAGAACATAGAGATTGCTGGGCAATTACATTTATACCCAGATGGTTATACCTACATGGTTTGTTGTGCATTTGAACCAGAGGGCGAGTGCTTCAGCATGGAAGAGAAATGCCTATTCTAAATTCCAGGATTCTCAACTGCATGCAGAGCCTACATAGCAGACTCCATGTTTCTGCAAGCTCCCTTGTGGTCAATGGGACTTACTCTTGCCTTTTCCTGCTGTGATATATCAAAATCCAACCAACACAGTGCTCCTCCAGATAAAGTCATACCTCGGGTTAAAGTAGCTTCGGGTTGAGCATTTTCAGATTGCGCTTCATGGCGACCCGGAAGTTACAGAACGCGTTCCTTCCGGGTTTCGCCACTCACGCATGCACAGATGCTCAAAATGATGTCATGTGCATGCGCGGAAGTGGCGAATTGCGACCCGCGCATGCACAGACGCGGGTTGCGTTCTGCTCTGGATGCAAACGGGGCTGCGGAACGGATCCCGTTCGCATCCAGAGGTATCACTGTAGTCTGCTTAATAAGCATTCATCCTGATTTGCTTTCACAAAGGCTTGTGTGGAGGTTGTGCCCACTGTTCACTGAGCATTCATTCTAATACATGTGCATGGGAGTTATATAACAATGAGCATTCATCATTCTCCTCCCTGCTCTGTGTTTACAGTGGTACCTTGGTTCTCAAACTTAATCCGTTCCGGAAGTCGGCAAACCTAAAATTTCCAGTATGTGCTTGAATCCGTCCCTGAAAATACTGACAGTCTGGAGGCTGCTAATAATAATGATCTATAAAGATGTATTGTAAGAAATCAATGGAACTCTCTAATACGTTTTCAAAACAGTTCCTGTAGCATTTTTGCAAGATGTTAGCTATGAGTCTGGAGCATCTGAAAAATGCCTGCTGAAAAACATTTGTTTATTGATAGGCAAAGCTCTTCTCATTCTCCAGGGCCACTGAAAGATAGAGATGCAGGAGCTGGCCGCTAGACAGCACCAAAGTTCCGACCAAGCCTGAATTCTCCAGCTTGCTGCACAGTTGTGACATTATAATTAAGAATGCACTTCAGAGCCTGGCTGAGCACTGGAAAAGGCCAGGGAGTTTCGCTAGATGCTAAATTTCTGAAGGCCTGTGGGGTTTGTCTAAATTAGGTTGCCTGGAAAGAAAAATAAGCCTGGAGTATGTGAACAGAAGACCTTCCGTTAGCAATGGGAGCAGAGTTTTCCCTGTTTTGACTGTACATATAATCGCTGCAAGGCTGCCAATCTCATTTCAACGGGTATGCATGGGAGTGGAAAACAAGTCCAGGCAAAGATGGAACTACAAGATGGTTGTTTCCCTTCAGCAGAAAACGTGAGTTGTAACCTTACGCACCATCAGATGCATATCACGGCATTTACAATAACAGACTAGAGTTGCACTTGGGGAGTAGAACAGGGCAAAAGTTTTAGCCCAACCAAGTGAGAGCAGCAAAGCGGAACCACCTCTTTCTGTCTGAAGCCCTGTCACATTTTTTTAACCTCATTACTGTACCATGGAACACATATTTAAACAGCAGCAGCATCCATTAAGCAGTGACGCTTGAAATGTTGTTCAGTTATTTTTAAGCAAACCGACCAGCGTAACTCTGTTGCCCTGTTCTGTTCATAGACCATGTCCATGTGACTAAAACATGAAAGGGGTTAGAGCAGGCTTCCTTAACCTCGGCCCTCTAGATGTTTTTGGCCTACAACTCCCATGATCCCTAGCTAGCAGGACCAGCGGTCAGGGATGATGGGAATTGTAGTCTCAAAACATCTGGAGGGCTGAGGTTGAGGAAGCCTAGGTTAGAGTCAACCTAGAACAGCCTTTCTCACCTCTGGATGTTGGACTACAACTCCCATCATAACTAGCTAGCAGGACCAGCGGTCAGGGATGATGGGAATTGTAGTCTCAAAACATCTGGAGGGCCTAGGCTGAGGAAGCCTAGGTTATTCTAGAACAGCCTTTCTCACCCCTGGATGTTGGACTACAACACCAACACCATCTGGGGAGCCAAGGTTGAGAAAGGCTGCTCTAGAATGCCATGATTGTGGGGTTGTTGGTTTTTTTAAAAAAAAGAAGCTCAGGCATCAGAGATGGGCCTTGCTGGGCCTCTTCAACTCCACTTTTTAGCTATTCTCAAAGAAGTATGAAGTAAAAAAGCTGAAAGCATCTGCAGAAACATACACCATACAGAAACACCCAGTGGAATATCTTAGTTTGTTGACATAAGATGGGTGAAACAAAATGGCCTGCACTAATTTCTGTCTCATACCATGGGCTGCATGCTGTTTTTTCACCTGTAAGAACTATAACCGCCAACTGATCGATTGAGCAAGTACAAATTGGGTCAAGTGCAAACGCAGATCAATGCGATCAAGTATCAGGTGCTCACACCATTCTATCAGGAGGTGTGTACCACACAATGTGGGAAATTGGGCCTTTAGTGTGGTGGTACCTGCCCTCTAGAACTCCCTTCCATCAGTATATGGTCTTTTCAGTGCCTGCTGAAGATGTTCCTCTTTCAAAAGGTCTTCCGAAAATCTTTATCTATGTGGTGTTGCAAACTTCTTTTTCATAATGGTTTATAACTGTTTTTATATATGCAATTGTTTTAACCGTTTGCAACTGTTATATATATGCTTCAGGATGTCTCATGGGAAGTGATTCATAAGTAAGAAGTTTCTAGTGTTTAAACTGATTAAGTTTAGGTACATCTTCATAACATCAAAGTCTCACCAAAAATGTATTTTTATGAAGTATATTTTATTTAGATCATTGATATATCAACAATTATTCCAACTAATAGCCTTAAATTAATAACATTACAATAAACTAAAAATAGCATAGGGTTTACCCTGCTACTGAACTTATTATTCCAGAACATCTAAACAAAAACAAAACAAAAAAACCACACCCCACAATCGCTCTATAAATTTATTGGGTTGATTTACACATATTCTGTTATAGTAGGTATTGTCACTATGGCCCAGATCTTTTTGATTCATTCAAACTCTGTAGCAGGTATGTTCTTATTCCAGTTCTTTACAATCACTACGTTTGCAGCAGTGGTAAGGTTAGTTTCCACTTCTTGATCATTTCTGAGGAAACGTATTTTACGGTAAATAAATATATTTTTAAGATACTAAAGGAAGTGTGTGGAGTAAAGAAACCAATATGTCTGAGGGGAAAGGCCATTATCTTGCTATAGTAATACGCAAGGATGGAAACAGTTGTCGTCGTCCCTCACAAATAATAATAATAATAATAATAATAATAATCAACACCTGTATGCTTTTAACTTTTAGCTCAATCCATTAAAATTAGCCTCTGCTGAATAATCAATGGAAGCTTTTGTTGATCAAACAACCATTCCAGCTGTCTAAACCTTGCAGCCTTACTGTGACTGTAGGGTGTTTCATTAGCGCAATCAATTCCACTTGCAAAATGGACCTTTCCTCCCCTCTCCCTGTGTGCACCCCCTGCCTCCCCCAAATCTGCTCTGGAAGGTTGGGGGAAACCCCAGAAAAGATTTAGGGTTTAGGGTGGGAGGAAGAGGGGTGGGGATTTCTGTTGCACTCGTGCAAATCCTTGCACTGATGGAGCTTGTTTCTTTGCCCTACACTGGATGCAACCCACTGTCTAGATACTGGATGTCTCCAAGCTATACTTTCAATAGGGTGTATTTGAAAAAATTAAAGGAACGTGCTTAATAGCAGCTTCTAATATGAAACACGCACCTTGGTTGCCAGCAAGGTACAACTCCTTTTAAATTCCTCTCTATTACGTAATTACTGGATGGACCGGTAGCCTGTTAATTAAACAGCCCAGACCTGTTCCCATCTTCCTGGTAATTTCTCAGGGATTTGAATGGTTTTTATTTTATTTTTTAAAATGAAAACGATGCCGAAGAAATATTGATTCGGCGAATCATAGAACTAATGAACATTTTCTTAAAATGTAGCAACTTTGGGATGACAGGCATCCCAGTCCCTAGCAGCTTAAAGAGAGCAGTGAATTGCGAAACAGGAACTGGAGTAGGCTGATATGTGTGTTATAAGAGAGGCAGCGTGCTGCAGCAGCGAGAGTGATGGGCTAATACCAGTCCAGAGAGACCCAGGTTCAAATCTCCAGGAAGCCACAAAGCCTGCTGGCTAATCTTGGGTTGCGGACTTGCCCTCTGGGTGGAGAACCATATACGCTGCCCTGAAGCTGTTAAGGCAATTAGATCCAGTCGTGGCCGACTCTGGGGGTGTGGCGCTCATCTCACTTTATTGGCCGAGGGAGCCGGCGTACAGCTTCCAGGTCGTGTGGCCAGCATGACTAAGCCGCTTCTGGTGAACCAGAGCAGCACACGGAAATGCCGTTTACCTTCCCGCCGAAGCAGTACCTATTTATCTACTTGCACTTAGACGTGCTTTCGAACTTCTAGGTTGGCAGGAGCAGGGACCGAGCAACGGGACCTCCCCCCGTCACGGGGATTCGAACCGCCGACCTTCTGATCGGCAAGTCCTAGGCTCTGTGGTTTAACCCACAATGCCACACCCACATCCCTAAGAGATGCAGATCCCTAAGGGATTCTCTTAGGGATCCCTAAGAGATCCCTAAGAGATGTTAAGAGATAGGCAGGATAAAACAATAATTGATAAACGGATCAGGTTTAAGGCAGTGCCATGGGGGCCTTGGAAAGTGAAACTGATGGATGTGCTCTCGCTTCTACCTGTTTGGCCTACTTCTCACCAAGATAGTAATCCTGAGTCTGCATACCAGTTCAAAGGACTGTCCATCATGCCAACTGGCAGCAGGGTTTCAGACAGAGATCATCCACTACACATCTTATGGTGTGAAATGGTTGGGGCAATATGTTTTTCGCACCATACCTTTGAGATTTCCTCTCTTCTTTGATTC